TTATTAAATGACCCTCTTCGCATAAAAATGGCACTTTATTAAATGGTAGTTTCTCCTGCCAACCCTTGTGTCAATAAAAGCTGCTGTAGTGACGTGGAAATTGGTGGGAGGAAACACTGAGCTCAAGGGAGAACCAGGAGATCAACAATTGCTCTTCAAGGGAGTGACATTTAGTGGCATTGTCAATGAGAAAGTTAAGAATTTTGGCAATTTAATTTTCAAAATGGGGTTATTTTAAGGGGTTCTTAATAAATTTGAAAATTTGTTATCACCAATCAGAATACATTTTGTGAATTGTTGCTGTGACTGCTGCACTTAACAATTTTGTAACTAAGATTTTCTTATCAAATTAAGCTACTATATATGAGGCCATTGCACTATTATTGCTTGCCTAAAGCCAGCCATAGACAGATGGAATTTCGATCCATGTATGGGCTATCAATCAAATTCGGTACAACCAGCCTGTCAGGTTTTTTTTTTTTAGTTTGATCACTACTGAAGGCTGTATATCATTGTATTCTGGTGGCTGGGAAACTTCACACTGTCAGAATACAATAGCTCCGCAGGAGTGATTCCCCAATCAACACTGAACCCAAGGTTGAAGGAAAGAAAAGTGGTTAATATACTATATGGCCTACCTAAAAGGAGCACAAGCGAATCTTGCCTGTATACTCTGCATGTTAAGTAAGGCTTCAGTAGACCTCTGCCCATTCGTATTGGACTTAATAATGTTTTTTTGTTCGCTCATCTGTGCCATTATCAAAATGGAAAATCTGTGTATGAGGACAAGTGCTTCTAACAATTAGAGGTGCTATTCAGTTACTTGGGGCATTTAATCAGAATGTGGATTGAGCTGTTTATGACCACCCTAAGTTGAAATTGAGACCATTGTCCTTGAGAAATAATCAGATGTGTCAGTTTGATGCTATCATGTTAAAACCGAAACGTAACTTTTAAAATATAGAGTTTGTAATTGTTCAGTGGGTTTAAAAAATAATTGTCATAGCTGGTCTTTGGTATAATGCCATCATAACTTTCCAGAAAAATCTCAATTACTATAGAGTCTTAGTAAATTGTATGTTTTTTGGATGCTTGTGTTTGTTATTACTGAAATGATCTGTGACACAGCTCTCTATCACAGTCCTGATATGTGTAGTAGCTTAAATACTCTTGTTGTGGGAAAAGTGTAAATTTATTCTGATGCAACATTTTCCTTGGAATTGGTTATTATTCTACATTGTATCATGGTCAGCTTTAGGCCTCATGCACTCTGGGAGTACATGATGCTCTAGCATTTAGCTGTGGCTAGAGGGCCCCATCCATGCTGCCGGCAGCTTGTAAAACTTTTAGAGTCTGACAGCTGCTGTGGCTGAAAGAGGCTGGGTAGTGCACATAGCTGTACTTCCATTTAAAGTGGAACTTCACTCTCTCAGTCAAATACATTGACTGCATTTTTGAATCCTTATTTGTGCTGCTACATAGGATATTCCCTTTTTACTTGTTTTAAGAAGACTTTTTGTTTTTTTTGCCAGTATCAGTTTCACTTCCTGGTTTCCACACATGCCTAGATCCACAAAAAGATGTCATAAATTTCGTCCCAGGAGTCCGTACAGGAGGGGAGGAGGGACTTTTCCAGAAATGGGACTTTCCAGAAATGCTAGAAGGGTGTTTTTCAAAATGATTTTTGAATTGAATAGTGTTTTTGGTTTGTCCTGTTTAGATGCAGTGTAGTTCCTCTTTAAGGCAGTATGGGGTTTATTTACTAAAGATGGAGAAGTCAAAATCAGGCTCACTTCTGCAGAAGAACCAATCAGCTTCCAGGTTTTATTGCCATAGCTTAATTGAACAAGCTGAAGTTAGAAGCTGATTGGTTTCTCTGCAGAAGTGAGCCTGATTTTGCACTCTCCAGCTTTAATACATAAACCCCTATGTGTCTGTGTTCTGGGCAGTCATTCTGAGGTCCATACTGCCCTAATTAAAAGTATAATTGAGTACACCGCCCAGTCCTGTCCAGCCACACCAGCTGTCGAACTCTGATAGAGCTTGACAGGCTGCCAGCAGTGGGGCTGGATGGTGTGCCTGTGTCCTCCAGCAGCAGCTTAACACCAGAGTCACATGCATTGGGTCTTGGATGTGATTTCAGCAGCTCCAGAAGACTCTGAGATATAACTCATGTCACTTTCCCCTTTGCTTCATCCCCAACAGCTATATAAAAGATTAGGCAGGGAGATGAGGGGTGGACTTGCTGCTGGGGTAAGAATTAGAAGCTGCTCAAAGAGTAGAGGGTTGTAACATGCAAGAAGGAAAGGGGGTATGCTAGAGAAATGACATTCCTGATGTAGTGAAATTTGCTAGTGAGTTAAGAGTCACATTGCAAGTTAATAAAAAATTTTTTATGGAAAATAAAACTGCTTCAGGTAAGCATTCACAATAATTTTTTTTTCTTTGCTTTTACCTTTTTAGTTTTTTAAATTGATAGCATCTCATTAAAGTGCTTTGATAAAATGTTTATTTCAGTGGGACATTTAGGAAAATCTAACAGTGCATTTTCCAAAAAAGTAAATCCTTGAAAAGTCATCATTCTTTAACCACTTACGTTCCAGAAGATTTTACCCTCTTCAGGACCAGGCCATTTTTTGCTGTTCGGCACTGCGCTACTTTAACAGGCAATTGCGCGGTCATGCAACACTATACCCAAATTAAATTTCTATCATGTTTTTCAAAAAGAGAGCTTTCTTTTGGTGGTATTTGATCACCACTAGGTTTTTTATTTTTCACAAAACAAAATATTGAAAAAAAAAACTACTTTTTAATTTCTTTAGTGAATACTTGTGAGCTATTATGGATGGTGTAAAATTTCTGAAAGTCACTTGCACTAACTCACTTGACTTGTATATATGATAAAAGAAGATAGCGCCGACACAAAAAGCTTTAAAAAATATTGAATAATATTGTAATTTGAAAAAAGCTTAAGCTTAAGCTTATAATTATATAGGAGCTGCTATAAATTTCTGCTATAAAACAGATTCAATAAAAACATTTTAAAAATCAAATTTCTTCATAAACTTAGATCAAAATGTATTTGATGAAAAAAAATCCCAGTAAGTGTATATTAATTGGTTTGTGTGTAAAGTCCTAGCACCGACAAAAATAGTATACACTATATTGCCAAAAGTATTGGGACACCCCTCCCAAATCATTGGATTCAGGTGTTCGTTTGCTCCATGGTCACAGGTGTATAAAATCAAGCATCTAGGCATGCAGACTGCTTCTACAAACATTTGTTAAAGAATGGGTTGCTCTCAGGAGCTCAGTGAATTCAAGCTTGGTACCATGATAGGTTTCCACCATTGAAATAAGTCCATCTGTAAAATTTCCTTGCTACTAAATATTCTACGGTCAACTGTTAGTGGTGTTAGAACAAACTGGAAGCAACTGGGAACAATAGCAACTCAGCTACGACTCAGACACACTCCTAAACCTTAGTGGACAGCCTTTCTAGAAGAGTTGAAGCTGTTATAGCTGCAAAGGGTGGGCCAATTCAATATTGAACCCTACGGACTAAGACTGGGATGCCATTAAAGTTCATGTGCATGTAAAGGCAGGCATCCCAATACTTTTTGCAATATAGTGTATATGCTAGATTTTTTTTATACTGGTAATGACAGCGATCAGTGACTTATGTCTGTGATAGTGCGGTGGACAATTTGACATTAACTGCCACTTTGTGGGAACTGACTAACTGCCACTGACATCTCCAGTGACACTAATACAATGATCAGTGCTAATAATATACACTGTCACTGTACTAATGACACTGGCTAAGATGGGGTTAAAATCTTGGGGAAATCAAGGGGTTAACTGTGTGCCTAATAATGTGAAATGTGTGTAATATTTGCTGCTTTTTTTACTACCAGTTGATTTGTTTATTTTCTCTGCAGGGAAAAGAATCAAAGCGATATTTCCCTTTGTATAGATTCTGTGTTGTTTGTGATTTGACGCCGTAGATCAACAGGTCCCGGCCATGAATCATTGGCCAGGATCTGATGACAAACTCCCACTGTGTCAAATCACAGGGAAGTAGGCAGATGGGGGCACATGCTCGCACCCGAAACCTGGAGACAGGCAGCGACGTACAGGTACGTCACTGTGCCTGTAGGAGTTGCCCCGCTACAGTATATGTACTGCGGTAGGTCAACAAGCGGTTAATAGTGTCTCTAAACCCAAACATTTTAAATATTGCAGCTTACCAGTTCGTAGATGTGGTGGCTGCATCCATTTTCATTTTTAATGCTAAAAACATTGTCCGCATGTACAGAAAATGTTTTATTAATCTTGCCAGAAATGTAGTGTCCTTATCACTTCATGTGAGCTGAAAGGAAAGCTCAGAGAACATTATCTTTATTGTGTAAATTATTAACCCACTGTCACAGAGATGAACAAAGGCAGACATCTAACAATCATGGCTGCCTCCATAGATACAGTGGGAAAAAATATGTAGCCATGAAGGGAAGTGTGTAATTCACAGGTCTACCAGGTGAAAATAAAGGGCAAAAAAAGCCTCAAAAAAGATAATTAATGCAGTCACTACACGTGATTTCTAGGCCAGTCTGGACTTCTCTTTGATTGGCCATAGTAACAAAGTTTTCTGAAATAGAAAAAAAAAATTCTGGTGGTTGCTTACACATGGCCCAATAAAAATAAGCAATTCAACAAATTTTGGTATCGTTTGCGTTTTTATTTTGGCATCACTTGTGTCAAGATCCCAATGGCTTCTGTGACTAACGCTAGGACAATTAAGACACATTATCTATCGTCTTCTTGGACATGCTTGCAATGTGGTTCCCTACTGTTTTTATAGAAGGATAGCCCAGAAATCTGGTAGGTGTGCTTTAACCACTCCATCTGACTAAAGGATTTTGCTTATATTTTTATCAAGAGTTATCTGCATAATTTATATACTGAAAAGTGAGCATGGTTTTTTTTTTGTGTTTTCCCCAAGGTTTACCAAGAACTTGTCTCCAGAACAGATCAATCTTAGCACATTGCGGGGAGAAGGACACCTGACAGATTTGGAGCTTGATGAAGAGGCTCTCCAGAACATGCTGGATTTACCCACATGGCTGGCCATCACACGCGTGTACTGTAATCGTGCTGCAATTCGGGTAAGGGGGGATCACATGGCACTAAGAAAACTCAAAGGTGCGTTGGGGCAGTATGAAGAACACTGATCATTCTACCCAAGTCAAAATGTTTGTAATATTCCTTGAGAATAATTGTATTTTCATAAAAAATATGATGATTGGGCTATGTGGACATTAACTAAGTGCATTTTCTCTCACAGATACAGTGGACTAAACTGAAAACTCATCCAATATGTCTGGTAAGTAGACATTTAAATAAATGCTTTGTTGGAAAATTTCTTGATAAATGTGGAAAATCCTTAACATTGTAAGCTCTCTCAAGCAGGGCCTTCCTAACCCTCTTGTGTTGAACTATATTGTACCTGTAATATCAATTTTTATTTTGTAATGCACTGTGAAGACTGGTGAGAGTATCTAAATCCTATTTAATAATAATAAAGTTGCTGTTATATTTACTTATGCTTAATCATTGGTTATGCTCAATCTCCAATTACCTACCCTTGGGTAATATTTTCATATTTCAGACAGGTCTATGGCTTGCCAAGTCTATATATCATTTACCCCCCAGAACCATTGGATTTAGCATTAATCACAAGTGTGATTGTGTATAGGTGGGTGTTAAAGTACAGTCAACTAGGGCATACACAGCCATTCATTAAAAGGTCATTCTACCAAAAAGTAATATTTTATTTATAAATTGAGCTTAGTCAAATGACTTAAATATTCCCTCTTTCTGCCATAATATCAACTCTGTTCCTGTGCACCTTGCATGTTCCAGGCTCCTCTGGTTACATTTGCCATGCAATAAAAACTATCCAATAGAAAGAGTGGGACCCCTTCATAATGGCCACAGTAAATGCATTTTCCCATGTAGCGTAAAGACTCTGCTTATTTCTAATGTCCCAGATGCCCTAGTGCAGCGTACAGCTGCCCATAAACTTGAGTGGGTGAAGTCAACTGCACACAGCCATTTGTGTAAAGTAGTGAATGCATGCAGATGTAATGTGCTGAATGCACCTAAAGTATGTTAGGTGCATTATGTTTGTTCGCGTGTGCTACTTGATGCAAATAGCCTTGCGTAGCTGCTAACAGCCTCCTTAATCTATTCATGTCTGTGGGCGGCTTTAAGCTGCTCTAGGGCATCTGGGACAACAAAAATATGCAGTGTCTTTATGCTGCATGGGAAAATGTGCTTATGTGCATGTAGCCTTAGGGGTGCCCACCTACTGCATCCTTGGAATGGTGCACTGAAGGCTTTCTCTTAGTTACATACAGTACATAATTGGTAAGGCTTAACAACGGCACTAGTCCATCCAGTTCAATGTGTGTGTGTGTGTGTGTGTGTGTGTGTGTGTGTGTGTCACTACCATTTTCCATGTATCTGTACTTTTGTGTTCATTTAGAAACACATCCTAAAGTTTTTTTATTTAATTTACTGCACTCATCACTGACACCACAAATTATGGAAAGGAGTTCCACATCCCTACTTCTCTAACAGTAAAGAACCCATTATACAGTTTAAGATTGAACTGCTTCTCATCCAACTTCATTGTGTGGCTGCATGTCTTCTCTAGAGACCTTAGATTAAACAGTTTTCTGCGAATGCTAGAGTCTCAATTTAAAGATTTGTATATTGCAATAATACCCCCTCTTAAGTGCCTCTCCTCCAGGGAAAACAAGTTTACTGTTTGCAATTTTTCCTCGTAACTTAGGTCCTCCAGCCCCCTTATTAGCATTGTTGCCCTTCTCTGAACTCTCCAGTTTAAGCACTACCTTTACCTAAAGATTGGGGACCAAAACTAGACGGCATACTCGAGATGAGGCTGAACCAGAATTTTTTTTAAAGTGGTAGAATTTTAGTTTTAATTGTTGAACGGTCTTTGATAAATTCATGTTGGTTACTATTAATTATACTCTTTTTATCAGCAAATGCTTGAATATGGTCCTTATCATTGCTTCCAATAGTATACATACTATTGGTGTTAGGCTGACTGGTTTGTACTTTCCAGATGTATATATCGGCCCTTTTTTTAATATTGGTATCACAGTTGCTTTTCACCAATCATCTGGTACCATTCCAGTCAACAAGTTATCCCTAATAGGAATAATGGTCAGGCTATTACATGGCTAAGTTTCATCAGAACTCACGAGAATAAGCCATCTGGTCCTGGTGATTTATTCACATGAGGTTTTTCTGGTCTTTTTTGAACAGTGGTTTCTGTCACCCACATGGGTACATTCAATATAATTTTGTTAATATTCCTGTCATGTTTATTATACAAGACAAGACACAAATGTATTTAATACAATTGCCCTCTCCCTGTCACTTATAAACTTCCCCTGACCATTTTCTAAAGGGGCCTGTATGCTCTGACCTAGCCTTTTTACCATTCGTATTTTTAAAAAAGATTTGGGGGATTTTTTTTTTACTCTTCTGTTTCTTAGTATCTGTTTTAGCTGCCCTGATCGGTCTCGAATTTCTTACTGCATTTTGTAGATTTGGAATGCTCATGGTGACCCTTCATATTTTTTTTCTCATTAATATGTCTTATTTACATTAGTATGTAGCCAACCATATTTAACTTTTGTTTTTCCACTTCTCTTCAGACAGCCATACTGTCATTCAAATTATTATTTTGGAAAAGGTGAATTTCGCTATTAAAGCTGAACACTGGGGAAATAAAACTTTTATTTAAATACACAAAAGAATATAAATCCACTTTGTGTGCACCAAATGCATTTGCAAACATAGTTATTACCTTGTAAATGTATCAGTGGCATCATCACTGTTCTCTGCCTGTGCACAGAGAGCAGAGCTGTAGGAGGGACACAGAAGTCCAACCCCCTACATGCTGCCTAGAGAAAACTACAGGGAGTGGATACAAGACCAGTCACCCTGCACAAGTAGTGAAAGCAGCGGTGACCAGTCTTTATTACAAGAAACTCCTGCACAAAGGCAACATTAACACTCCCTCAAGACTTGGTTCTGGCCAGCTCAGTGGATTGCTTTCTTGGATACACAGAATATAACTGGATACTAACATTTATAGGTAAAGTTGATCCAGGGAATATCTGATAGCCTTTCGGGGGATCAGGAAGGAGATTTTTCCCCTGCAAGAGCAAATTGGATCATGCTTTGCTGGGTTTTTTGCCTTCCTCTGGATCAACTGTGGGTATAGGATTATAACTTTTTTTTATATATGTTTGAACTGGATGGACTTTTGTCTTTCTTCAGCCAAACTAACTATGTAATGCTGGATTACCATACAGATCTATAGGAAATATACAAAGCACACCAAGATTCATGTAACCGAATACACATGCCTCTTGTTTTAAGATAATATATACTTATCGTAGAGTTCAGCATTAAACATCATAGTGCAATTCTTTAGTGCGCTTCACTAGTAACAAAGTGACTAGAATTATTTTGCTTGTCTTTGCTGATACTGCAAGATGCTGGATAAAGTAGAGATTGAAATGAAAACATGTGAGGATCCTCGACCTCCAAATGGACCTTCACCTATTGCACTTGCCGCAGGTCAGAGGTGAGATCCGTGTTCTTTGCGATAATTTTTAAAGCAGATGTTCACTTTCTGTAGCATCTAATGTTAATATACTCTCCATTCTTCCTACTTTTTTTTTTTTCTTGCTACATTCTAGCGAATATGGTTTTGCAGAGAAAGTGGTTGAAGGCATGTTCCTGGAAATCGGATGCGTCAGTATTAAGATTCAGTCTCATACATTTCGTGCATCTCTGCAGCTGTGGCAACTCCAAGGTTATAGTGTTAGCCCAAATTGGCAGCAAAGTGATTTGCGCTTCACTCGCCTCACCCATTCCCAGCGTGGAGAGGTAACTTTAGTTTTTTGTAATCTCAGGACATTCTTGGAATATAGTATCTGAATATTTTTTTTTTTTTACAGGTCCTTACATTTAAACAAGTGACTTGGCAGACCCTTCGCATTGAAGCTGATGCGTCAGAGAGCTGTGAAGATGCGCCAACCACTCCTCTACGCCTGCTTACAAATGGGGGGAGATTGAATGTAGCACTTAAAAGAAGGGTGAGATTTAATGTAAAAACTAATATTGTTGCTCCATTCATAGCTTGCTTTCTCATTGCACCTCACTTAACTAACCATTTAAAAATCTGAAATTGGAACTCAAGGCAAATAGGTTAATGCTTAGTTGAAATGCCCATGTTTACAGTTGCACTTGATAAAGAATCTGTAATTCTGGTTAGCCTGTTTTGTTAGCACACATCTGCCACACTGCACAACCAGAAGGGTTACACTTATTTTCTGGTTTAGTAGTAATGGCTCTGTTACCTTTCTGCCTCCAGCCTGCTCATTGGACAATAAATCAGTATTATAACCTCTGTCCATTGAGTAGGGAGCTGACCCAAGAATCAGAATATGATGAACTAGTAAATATCAAAGAGATCGATATGTATCATGTATCGCAATCAACGTTTTTTGTGTGTAGGTACCCCTGACGTGTGCTTTTACGTTTGTATGAGCTTGGGTTTAACTTTAATTTTTTACAATGTTTTTTCACTTTAACATCACTTAATCTGGTGACAGGTTCTCTGTAATAAGACATCCAGGGGCCTAAGACCCTGGATGTCTCACCTGTGCTCCAATTAATCTAACTTATACTGCATTTGATTCCATTCCATCCAAGCTAGCCAGTAAAATTAAAAGGGGGACATTTTACACACCGTTTCTGCGTCAGCAAGAAGGAGGGGAGAGTGGACGCATGTCTGCTCAGATTTGTCCCCTCTACCTGGCAGAACCTGCCATGTCGATCTCAGGCATGCTGATGGGCAGCCCAAGATTTATGGCGGGGGCGCATGCCAATTACCGGGGGTGTTCATCTGACAGTCAGAAGTCAGATATGCACACACCCCCCCTCTTTCAGGTGTGTACCATGAATGAACCTGGTAGCGAAAGGGTTAAGAGAAAAATAATAAATGCACATTGTTTTGCAGACAAAATGTGCATTTATTATTTTTCCCCCAAAGAACCTACAAAGCATTGCACCTGCAATCAGTGGATCATTGGTACAGGCTCCTGCAGACATGTCTTCCACCTTTCTGCCTGTATCCCCTGTACAGGCTTTCATTTAGAAAGCTGGAGGGCATGTGAATGGACTACGATCACACAAATTAGTACACTCGTAGTCCATTAAAGTGATACTAAAGCTAAAAACATTTTTTTACCTTTAAAATGTTTTCTATTTCCCTGTCCTCTCCCTTCCCTGTGCGAAGAGAAGGGAGAACAGATCCAGCACTGTGCATGGCTGCATCTCTTCTCTCCTCTCTTCCTCTTCACACTACACTCGAGTAGCAGCAGGAGCTATTTGCTCCTACTGCTGTCAATCAAATGCAGTGAGTAGAAAGTGGGGGGGTTGGTCTTATGTCCCTGTGTAAGTCTATGGAACACGGCTCCATAGACACACAGCTCGGGAGCGGGCAAGACAGTGTGTGTCTCCAGAGCAAATGGCTTGCTATGGGGACACACAAATAAGAGGAGGAGCCAGAAGCGCCACTGGGGGACCCGAGAAGAGGAGGATCAGGGACGCTCCGAGCAATACCACTGCACAGAACAGGTGAGTAGAACATGTTTGCTATTTTAAATCATTTTAATAATAATAACACTTTAAGAAATACAAATCATCTTGTAGCACTGCACAGCTGCGCTGATTTTAAATGTGATAGCAGCAGGGGAGAAGAACCCCCACCTTCTGTCATGGGGGGGGGGGTTGGGATGTGCTGGAACACTTTACATGTTATAATCTTAATAGCCTTTACCGTTTAAGGAAACCTGTGGTAAGAGAAATATGTGATTTTCATCACTGGTCTCTCTTAAAAGTGTTAGCTGTCAGACTGTCATACTGTTAAAATGGCTTGATAAATGCTAAATGTAATCATGAAAAACAAGTTTTTTCTTTTTATAGTCTTCTCCTAAGCTGCTGTCTTTAAAGCTAAACTAAATCTGTCGATTTAATGGTTTCCCAGAACTGTTACATTCCAGGTATTCCGTGAATAACTGTCACAGTTGCCTGTTCTGTCAATTAAACTGTTAAGCCATCAAATGTCTGGTGTCATAACTAATCACATGTGTAGCACCATGGCATCTGAAGATCAAACCGAGGCTAAGATGGCAGCTTCCTTGGCTTTAAAGGATAGGCAGGCTTAGTTCTTCATTAACGTACCTATGGAATGTCATGTTGTTTGTACTTCTGCTTAGACCAAAGACTGCATGGTGCTGTCATCCAAGCTGTCCTTCTTCTTAGATGAGCTGTTGTGGGTGCTCACAGACTCTCAGCTTCGGGCTTTACTTTCATACACCAAGTCCTTAAGTGAAGCTGTACAGAAATCGGTGAGACAGAGGAAGCAACTAGGGGAGCCTCAGGTAAGAGTCATTAATAAAACATTGAAGTGGAACTCCAATCATTATATTATATTTAAGATGGAGAAGAGGAGATTTGTTATCTGTAATTTGTTTTGGCCATCTTTGCATGTCTTGGGGAGATCGCTTCTTTTCACTTTCTGTCCTAGTCACAACATTCTATCCAAGACAGGATATAAAGATCACACTGAAATTGCTGGCTTACATTGGAATTCTTGAACAGGAGTTATGCTTTTGACTGCTTGTGATTGTGGTTTCACGTGTTTTATCTACTTCTTTGAGACTTTCCTATCAGCTTTTAAAACACTTCTTTCCTTTTCTTTTTTTTTTCCTCTCCCCTTTTCTGACATTTATTAAATAGCCTTTGTTTTCCATCTGTCAGTGCCCGGTCACACAGGTGCAACTTGTCATGTGAGTTCATAGTTTCAAATCGCATAAGTCACACACTATTGTCTGCAATGGAAGCGATCATATCGGTGCGATTCTGACTCCATCGGAGTCACACCCGATTTTTAAAGTACTTCATGCACTACTTTTTGCAAGTTCAGGTGCAACTTGCCTAGACATCTGTGCATGAAGTTGCACAGATGTCTTCCAAGTCGCACCTGCATTCGGACTGCCATCCAACTTTGAAATCCATGCAAATTCAAGTGAAGTTGCATGATTTCAAAGTTGGATTTGGTGTGACCGAAGACTCAGTCTACTAATTTAAGGGAGTGGTTAATTGTTCACAGGTGTTATATAACTTTCGGTACAGCTCCCATTAACCACCTGCCTACAGGGCACTTATACCCCCTTCCTGCCCAGGCCAATTTTCAGCTTTCAGCGCTGTTGCACTTTGAATAACAATTGCATGGTCATGCAACATTGTACCCATATGACATTTTTATAATGTTTTTCACACAAATAGAGCTTTATTTTGGTGGTATTTAATCGCCACTGGCGATTTGCGCTATAAACAAAAAAAGAGCAAAAAAAATTTTTTTGTTTGTTTCTATTATAAAATTTAGTGAACAGTTAATTTTTCTCCTTCACTGATGTGCATTGATGAGGTGGCACAGATAGCAGCACTGATGAGCTGGCACTGACTGGCGGCACTGCTGGGCACTGACTGGTGATACTGATGGGTGGCACTGATGGGCACACGTACGTGGCACTGCTAGACACTGATGGGTACAGATGGGTGGCGCTGCTGGGCACTGCTTGACGGCCTCCCAGAACTGAACAACCGCACTGTAGCCATCATTTGGCTATAGCCCGGTTGTCAAGTGGTTACAGTTCACCTTTTGACAAAAATAAATAAATGCACATTTTTTTGCAGGTAAAAAAAATGTGCATTTATTATTTTTTGTTGCTGGAGCCTGTAAAGCATTGCACCAGCGATCAGCAGATTGCTGGTGCCATGCAGGTCTTCTGCAGACCTGTCATATATTTGCTTGCCAGTATGGGATGTACAAGCAAGCAGATATACTGACAGGAAGAATCAATGAACTACCACAGCGTTCTGCAGCGCTGTGGTAGTTCATTGAGAACTACAAGCCAATAGCCGCTAAGATTGTCAGTAGTTCATTCATTCACAGAACCCTGTGAATGATGGTACCATGTGGGTGGAGCCCCGCATGGCAGTTCTGTTTTTAATAAGTGATAGCTAGTACAGGGAACCTCTCCCCATTCCGTTGTCACAGGAAGGGGGAGGGGATCGGGCAGCGGCTGCAGCATTGGGATCCTGTTAAATGTTCCCAAAGGTGAACTTATCCTTTAAACTTGCTGGCTTGGAATTGTTGAACAAGTGGAATTTTGACCAAGTGAAGAGTTACAAAAAACAGGAATTCAAAACAGGAGTCTTTTACCTGTAAGCAATAGCCTAATTTTTTTTTTTAATATTAATGTTGTAACTGGGATAATGATTGCTAGCAAGGTAGAAGGTTTTGCTCAGTGTACAGTATGCCGCGTTTATACAATAATGGATTAACAGCTCCAGGATGTATACTGCTGTGACAGATGTGAGCAGGTATCCCTTCTAGAAACTCAAATTAGAGATCTGGTGGCCCAAATTGCAACGCTTGGCAGAATTGACAACCTTGAAAAGGATCTTCTGCTCACTGAGCAGGTGGATAATAGGTTTAATGTGGAAGGGTTAGGGCAGAATGACCAAGTAGGAAGATGTATAAACGCAATCGTTCCCGCACTTATGGTAGGTCTAGAGTAGATGACTGGGGATAAAGAGAAGGCAGATACAGTAATTACCTTCTTCAGCTCTGTGTACTGTATACAACGGAGCATGGGGGAGCTCATGTCCATAATGGGGGATGACATTGACACAGCTCCAAATGATCCACAAAGGTTTAAAATTGATGTGGTCCAGAAATATTTATACAGAATAAAGGTGAAGAAGCACCTGGACCGCATGGCATACACCCACGGGTTCTAAAAGAATTGAGCTTTGTCATTTCAAAGCCATTGTTTCTAATTGTTAAGGACTTTTTAATAAATGGCATAGTACCACTGGATTGGCGTAAGGTGCCTGTATTTAGAAATGGGTCAAAGTCTTTATCAAGTAGCCATAGACCTTTTAGTTTAACTTTTATAGTAGGGAAGATACTGGAGTGTTTAATTAACCTCTTGACGCCAGCTAACCTCTTGACCCATCTGGGCCTAGATGCCGAGCGGCCACACATTTGCATCTATTAAAAAAAAAAACATATGTGCTGAGACCGCGCGCCCTGTGTGCTCCTAGCACACGTTTGGTACTCACGGAAAGGTCCCGATCTCCTCTTTCGATCGGGACCTTTCCCGATCATGTGATGGCGTGTCACGGTGGTCACATGACCCTAAACTCCGCTCCGCCTCCCGGCTTCTAAAACCCTTAAAGGGCCAGGAGGCGCCGGCGCCAAGGGGTTAAAGACCACATAGATGAGTTCTTGCTGGAAAAAATATTTTTAAGCCACAGACAGCATGGATTCGTGAAAGACTGAAGTTGTCAAATAAATCTGATTTCTTTTTATGAGGAGGTAAGCAAAACCTTAGACAAAGGTGTTGCTGTGGACGTGGTATACTTGGATTTTGCAAAAGCATTTGACACAGTTCCCCACACACGGCTAATGTACTTTTTAATATATTTATAAATGATATAGGGTCTGGGATTAACAACACCATTTCAGTCTTTGCAGATGATACCAAGCTGTGCAGTGGAATAACATCCTTACAGGATGTCTTCAATTTACAAGCCGACCTCAATGCACTGTTTAATTGGGCAACTATGTGGCAAATGAGGTTTAATGTTGATAAGTGTAATTATATTAATGTAAATGTATGTAATGCATCATACATACTAGGGGGAGTACAACTGGGGGAATCAATGGTGGAGAAGGATCTGGGAGTTCTGGTACATCACAAGCTTAATAATGGCATGCAATGCCAAGCTGGGGTTTCCAAAGGGAGCAAAATTCTTTCTTGTATTAAGAGGTATAGAGCGATATCATATTACCCCTGTACAAATGATTAGTAAGACCTCATCTGGAATATGTAGTTCAGTTTTGGGCACCAATTCACAATAAGAATATTGGAGAACTGGAGAAAGTGCAGAGAAGAGCAACCAAATTGATAAGAGACATGGAGGAGATCAGCTATGAGGAAAGATTAGAGGAACTGAATTTATTATCTCTCGAGAAGAGGAGACTAAGGGGGGATATGATCAACATGTATAAATACATCAGTGGTTCATATAGTGAACTTGGTGTAGAGTTATTTACCCTGAAGTCATCACAGAGGACAAAGGGGCACTCTTTACGTCTGGAGGAAAAGAAATTTCATCTCCAGATACAGAAAGATTTCTTCACAGTAAGAGCTGTGAAAATGTGGAATAGACTCCCTCAAGAGTTGGTTCTGGCCAGCTCAGTAGATTGCTTTAAAAAAAAAGGCTTGGATTCTTTCCTAAATGCATATAACATAACTGGATACTAATATTTTTAGGTAAAGTTGATCCAGGGAAAATCCGATTGCCTCTTGGGGGGGATCAGGAAGGTGTTTTTTCTCCTGCTGAAGCAAACGGACTCATGCTTTGCTGCGGTTTTCTCTGGATCAACTGTGGGTATAGGATTGTGTATATAGGATTGTTTAAAGTGTTCCTAAACCCGGACCCTGCATTCACTCTATCCGGTCTCCCACAGTACACAAACCATGGAAATGCAATTATTTTAGTGACTATAGACTGCTAAATACCTTTTGTCATCAACAGTTAGAGCAGTCTTGTGACTTCTGTCAGTGTCCAGCTGAGCACTGGTTTAAGCTTGTAGGAGGAGTTTTTATTTTGCTCTAGTAGGATGCAGAACCCCTGACCTCTGTCTGGACAGCTCTGATTGCCCGTGTGCTGATCACATGCACTCTCCCAAGAAAAAAATAACCCTCTGTAACAATACACACTAAACTGAGCATGTGCAGAGTGACTCCACAGGATATGTCTTATCAGGAGATAAGGGGGACACTTGAAGAAGGGGCAGATCAGAGAAGTCAGGATCAAACAGCGGTTTTACACAATGCAGAGAATTAACCCCTTAGGTTCCACAGTGAGTATAACAAGCATGCTTTACTGCATATACAGACTGATTTTACTGTTGTGGGTTCAGTGTTAACCACTTGAGCTCCAGAGGATTTACCCCCCTTAATGACCAGGCCTTTTTTTGCTGTTTGGCGCTGCACTAATTCAAATGATAATTGCGCGGTCATGCAATGCTGTAACCAAACAAAATTTACATCCTTTTTTTCACACAAATAGAGCTTTCCTTTGGTGGTATTTTATCACCTGTGCGCTTTTTATTTTTTGCGCTATAAACAAAAAAACCACGAAACCTTTGAAAAAAAACAATATTTTCTACTTTCAGCTTTAAAAAATATATCGTAAACTCAAAGTTAGTCATAAATTTAAGCCAAAATGTATTCTGCTACATGTTTTTGGTAAAAAAAATCCCGTGCATTAGCGGGCAAACTGGCACTATCTAGGAGGGGCGCTAACACTATCAGAAGTCACCAGTGACACTAATACAGTGATCAGTAAAAATCTGTTCACTGTAATCAATGACACTGGTGACAGGGCAGTGAAGGGGTTAACTGGGGGGGGGGGGGCGATCAAGGAGTTAAATGGGATTTCTGGTGCACTAGCGGGCAAACTGGCGCTATCTGGGAGGGGCTCTAACACTATCGGAAGTCGCCAGCGACACTGATACAGTGATCAGTAAAAATCTGTTCACTGATCAATGACACTGGTGACAGGGCAGTGAAGGGGTTAACTGGGGGGGGGGCGATCAGGGGGTTAAATGTGACCTAGAGTGTTCTAACTGTAAATGTGTAGTGTTTTACTCACTTTTACTGTGTCTTCTTCTCTGTCTGGAACGGAATGTGTCCAGGCAGAGAAGAATGACATCATATCCTGCCCTGTGTAAATGTCAACACAGGACAGGATAGGACAGGGACCGATCATGTGATTTCAGCCAGAAATCACTGGCTGAAATCTAATGATTGATCCCTCCTGGATCGAATCGTGTAACCCGCGGGTCGGCGGGAGCGCGCGCCCCCTACCCGCGAATGTGTCGGGAGCGCCGAGCACGTTTTAAAACTTGCTTTTGCGCTCCACTGCCGCCCTGCACACGTATATATACAGTGGCAGGGCGGGGCGGCAAGCGGTTAAACTTTAATTTTTTCTTGATTGAACTAGATGGAATTGAGTCTTATTTCAACTAGAATAACTGTAATAAGACAGCGCTTGCCAATAGTATACATAAATAAAAACAATATGTTGCTGATCAACCCCCTTCCCACCCCCCCCCCCCCCCCAGAAAAAGAAAGTTCTTAATAGTTCACTAGTCTAGTCCGAATGTATTTGTGCTTTGCGTTTATAACATTCCGTATAAAGTTCTGTGCAAAGAAGAAAAAGTGCTGATAAAGGTGGCTTTTCCAGCTGGGGTATGTTCTAGATAGAAGTAGAATTCTGAGGTTAGGGATAATTAATACACTGTGTTCACCATATTATACTGACCCATTAATTTGCCAAGAGAGTCAGTATAGCGCTGTGTAACATCCACTCCTGGATAGGTGCAGGCTCTGCTTCTCTTCAGATGTTTTTTGCCCCTCTGTTTCCTTCTGAGTACAGATCTTCAGGATATTTTCAGCAAGAGGCCTGTTCTATAGGGGCACTCAAGCAGGCTCGCTCCTGAGCCACGCTCCAGTGTATTGAGATTGTTCATTCACACCCCCCCCCCCCCGCTGTCTCTTTATTGGCTGTGCTTGACAGCAGCAGGAGCCAATTCCTTCTGCTGCTGTGTGAACCAGTGAGGAGAGAGAGACCCAGGAGAGCTGTGGCTCTTATTCACATCGCTGGATCAAGATGGGGCTCGGGTAAGTTTAAGGGGGGCTGAGGGGGCAGCTGCACACAGGTTTTTTACCTTAATGTAAAGAATTCATTAAGGTAAAAAAAGAAAACTGCCTTTAGAACCACTTTAACCGCTTGCCCTCCAGAGGATTTACCCCCCTTCCTGAACAGGCCATTTTTTGCATCACGGCGCTGCTTTACTTTAACTGACAATTGCACAGTCATGCAATGCTGCACTCAAATGAAACTTATGTTCTTCCCCCCCCCCCCCCACAATTTCTTTCGGTGGTATTTGATCTCATCTGCGTTTCTAATTTTTTGCACTATGAACAAAAAAAGACTGACAATTTTGGGAAAAACTATATTTTTGACTTTTTGCTATTAAACATGTCTAGTAACAAAATGTAAAAAAAAATCAAATTTCGTCACAAATTTTGGCCAAAATGTATTCTGCTACATATAACAAAAAAATCCCAATACATGTAAATTAACTGGTTTACGTGAAAGTTATAGCATTTACAAATGGCGGTATATATACTGGAATTTTTTTTTCTCTAGTAATGGCGGCGATCAGCAACCTCTAGCGGGACTGCGGCGGGCATTCTGACACTGGGGGGAACTGACTTGGTGTCACTGACATTCCCAGTGATACCAATAAAGTGATCAGTGCTAATAAAAAGCATGAAGGGCTTAACATCTGGGGCGATCAAAGGGTTAACTGTGTGCTGTGTGTTTTCCACTGTAAGAGTCATAGAAAGCAGTGTGCAGGAGCTGACGGGAGAGAACTGTATGTGCAGGAGCTGACAGGGGAGAGAACTGTAAGTGCAGGAGCTGACGGGAAAGAACTGTATTATTTACATACCCCCGTCGGTAATACTCTGCAATCACCAGCGCGCGAACACCTGGATCTGCAAAATCACGTGTGTGTTTGTATATGTGTGTGTGTGTGTGTGTGTATATATATGTATATGTATATATATATATATACATACTGTATATCATCTTGTGCAACCCTGCCACCCTGTAGCACTATTTCTGCTATAGTATGGAGGGGAAGCAGTTAACTTCTATAGTCTTCTATATAGGAAGATACTGCGTTTTTTTTAGGCAACATGGAAGAGTTTTTGCTGGAAAACAATATTTTAAGCAATAGTCAGCATGGATTCACAAAAGATTGAAGATTTCAAACAAATCTGATTTCTTTTTATGAGGAGGTAAGTAAAAAGCGACTGTGGATACAGCATACTTGGATTTTGCAAAGTTTAAGATAGAGTTCCCTACACTGCTAATAGAAAAGTCTACCGGCTTGTAAAATTCAGTTTGAAAATGTTGTGACAGAGGATGGCTCTGTTACTGGTAGAATATAGGAAAATGTGACATAGGATTCGTATTAATGGTTAATGCGAGGTTCTGGACTACTATTTCTCCAGATTTTGTATTTCTGGATTGGTACTTTCAATCCTGTAACTGGAGTTTACCAGGTGCCTGCAATCTGTCTGAATACACAGGTGAGCTGGGTCATTATATTCTCAGGGCTGAGGATAGCTCAGTGCTCCCAGTTTGGAGACCATAACCCGTGTGGAAGACAGAAGCTCTCACTCGGGGTCTGGGAGCCCCAGCCAGAAGCCAATAGACAGAGGGTCTCAACCCCTGCCAGAAGCCAGGAGACAGCAGGTCTTATTCCAGGAGTCTGGTTGACTCCTATCGGGGTGTCAGGAGAACCCCAATTCATAGGCCAGAGGTGGACCGTAAAGCAGGGCGCTGCAAATAACAGCTAGAGAGCCAAGCATCCAGGAGAGCTGGACAACACAATCAAAGGGACTGGTGAGAGAAAACGAGCCAGGTGGCTCAGTATTTTCATTTGTGCATATTGTGTGGAAGAAACCCCTGCGTGAACAACTGAATAAAAGTGGGCTGCCATGCCCTAAAATACAGTTTTGGACTTGCACAACTCATGCGCAAAACAAAACTGGCTAAAAGACTGTGTTTGGTAGTAGTGATTATTCATAATCTGATTAGTTTAATGTTATTAGTGGTGTACCCCAGGGTTCAGTGTTGGGACCCTTACTTTTTAACCTATAAGTTATATAGGGTCTGGGATTAATAACCACTTGCCTACAGGGCACTTTCTCCCCCTTCCTGCCCAGGCCAATTTTCAGCTTTCAGCGCTGGTTCTCGGCAGTACTTTTCTCACGCTCTGACAGCCGAAAGTGCAGCCGAGAACTGGCAGTTGCATTTCCCTGTGATCAGCGTGTCATTGGACACGGTTGATCACATGGTAAAAGGCTGCTGTGATTGGCCTTTTACCACATCGCATGATCAGCTGTCTTCGCAGGACACCGGTTACGGAGATCGTCGGGTGCTCGCAGGAGAGCGCGTTCTGGTAGGACGTTATATGACGTCCACCCAGAACTGGCCGGACGCAGTGCAGCTGTCATTCGGCTATCTGTGGTCAGCAACTAGCTAAAAGTACAATTTCATTGTTTGCCGATGACTATGCAGTAGAATAACATCCTTACAATTTACAAGCTGACCTCAATTCACTGTTTAATTGTTCAATTATGTGTCAAGTTAACTTTAATGTTGATAAATGTAAAGTTTTGCACTTGGGGGCTAAACACATGCACGCATCATACATATTTGAAGGAGGTCAACTAGGGGAGTCAATGTTTGAAAAATATCTGGATGTTCTGCTAGATCATAGACTTAATAATTGCATGAAATGCCAAGCTTCTGCTTCTAAAGCTAGCAAACTCCATTTTTGTATTAGAAGGTATAAACTTCAGAGCGAGAGCAAGACATAATTTTCCCCTTTACAAATCATTAGTGAGACCTCATCTGAAATATACAGGTCACAAAGAGAATATTGGAGAACTAGAGAAAGTTCAGAAAAGGGCAACCAAACTGATGAGAGGCATGGAGAGGAGCTGAGGTAAAGGGGGATTATAATCACCATGTATAAATAAATGCGTTCCATATAGTGAACTTCCTGTTGAGTTTCCACTTTCAGGTCATTACAGAAAACAAGGGAGCACTCTTTATGTCTGGAGGAAAAGAGACTTAACCTCCACATATGGAAGAGCTTCTTTATAGTAAGAGCTTTGAAAATGTGGAATAAACTCCCTCAAGAGCTAGTTCTGGTCAGCTCAGTAGATTGCTTTAAAAAATAGCTGGATGCATTCCTTAATGCACAAAATATAACTTGATAATAACATTTATAGGTAACAACACCAGGGGCAGTTGATCCAGGGAATATCAAATTGCCACCTGAGGGACCAAATCGGAGCATTTTGTATGGGGTTTTCTGGTGTTTAAACTGTTTTTCAACCTTATGTAACCTCCAATAGGGAAGCACACAACAATAAAACCATTTTAGCTAAGTGGGAAATGGTCAGAACTGTTTAGCTTTGTTTCCTGTGCTAGTGACTATGCAGTCACTTGGATAACAAGTTTATATTGTCCCCAAAAGGCACACATACATTAAAATTGTGGGATTTGAAGCCCTGTCCTCTCTATCTAAAACTAAAGAAAACATTTTGGCTGAGGGTGCACTTCAACACTTGCTTTAATATTAGTTTCCAGTGTTCTTTTCTGTCTGTGTTAGTAAATTAGAAATTCTTTTTTTCCACAGGTACCCTCACCCACTGCCCCTCCACCTTGGTCTTTCCCCCCTCCCCCGTCCTCATCAACCAGTCTTGGCCAATACTTTGAAAGGTTTGATGTGAAGGAAACCTCTTATCATCTACTCATCTCAAAGCTTGAATTACATGTGTGTGATGAAAGTCAGACAAGGGGTACAGGTAAATGTATATGAAACAGATTTATCTATGCTATATGATGGGTTCTAAAGCCCGAGGTTGGTAGAAAGGGCTCCCAATCTTTCTGCACTGTGATTGACTGTATAGTGCTGACTTCATCAGGAGCCCATCCTACCTGCTCCTGATTGTAAGAATATGGCCGTGAGCTTTTGGTGACAGCTCGGCCGCAGTTCTGGAGGCTCCTATAGAGTGCATCCAGAAACTACACAGTAACGCATAGATGTGGTGGCTGGGCATTAGAGCCCACCTCCCTGCCACCAGATAAATGTGCAGGGCAGTCATAAAGAATAACTAACTCTAAGTAGAGTGTGCATGTGTATGCCAGATATTATGTTTTGTGTTTCTGGTAGATTGTAAAAGAGTTAAAGTATACGTTAACGCTATTACTAAATAAGCTTAGTACTCTAGTCCAGTCCTGTGATCTCCTCAGTGGCCATTTTCAGAGGAGAGGAGAGTGCAGCGACAACGTCTACAATCCTGGTGAAGTGACATCACTAATAGGCTTACTATGGGGCATTTGTTGTCGGCTGTCCTACTTCTTCCCTGAAGCTGCCACTGGGAGTCAGTCATGTGACCAGACCGGCACTCCTTGAGAATAGGTAAGTATAAGCAACTTCTTTTACAGGCTAGTTAGAATTAGATTTAAGCTCTGTTGATAGTAGCCTGGATTTCTACTTTAAACTTTCTACCAGATTTTTTTTTTTTCTGTTTATGACTTGCTTGAGATTTACTTTCTATTGTACCTGTAATGCCTGAACAAGAAATGGTGAGTGCTGCTGTCATCAGGACAGAAAGGCAAGCAAATCATAGCAGACGTCTCATCCTTTCATTAGTCAATTTAATAATGTAATATATTTCACATGGCTGCTCCAGGCAAGACCAGGCTCCTCGCTTCACCATCACAACTCAGGTGTTGCCTCAGCTCTTCTCAAATGAAGCAATCATTTGTACGGTCAACAGATGCAAAATAATATCCTTATTTTGTTAAAATAGCAATCAGGAACAAGTTCTAATGTGATGGGTCAAAAAATTGTTTGAGAAAGCACTGTGCTTAGCATGAAGCATCTCAGAATAGAACCTGTTTCTGTCCGCTATTTTAATAAGGGAAGAATATTTTGCATCTGGGTGTGCAGCACTTCTTTTTGCCAGTACAATCTATAATAATGTGTTTGTGGAGATTTTTCCCATCACATCCTGAACTGGAAAGAAGTTAGGGGAAATCTTCCCTTCTCTTCTCTATCCCTCCACTACTCTTTTCAAAGCTAAACAGAACAATCTGGCAGAAGTTTCACTGCAAGCCTAAACTATTTTACAGTCCCTTCATCTCAACTCAGCTAAAATTAAATAATGGGAAAGAAACCGAAAGGGTGTTACTGACTGCTTCACTCCTTGCCAATCTCTGGGGTTAAACAAATCAGAATCTGTTATGACATGTTGAAAACTGTGGGGGAATTACAATTTATGATATAATAATTATTTTTTTAAATATTTGCCTACACAAGTGCCTTCCTGACAGAATCACCAGGTATTATTTTAGTGAAAGCTGCAAAAAAAAAAAAAAAAGCATTTGCATATCTTTCAGACTTCTATCTAGACTCCTATTCCAACTATTGCAGGGTTTTTGATTTCTTCTTGATGTTTTCATGCTGAGTTTTATGTTGATGATTTTTCTGTAATGTCCACCTTTTGCTTCTAGTCACAGGAGGTGCCATACAGGTTACTTTGCGTAAAATTACACTGGATTATTATCCGACCCACAAGGCAGGTATGTATTCTTCTGCTGCTTTGATTAATGATTTATGTTTTGGATTTGCCTTGCACTTGGATGTGGCTTACATGTATACCCCCCAAGTTGCTGTGTATTTGGGGAAAAAAGACATTTCATGCCTCTTTTTCCTCTTTTTTTTTTTTTTTTTTATTTTTTTAAATCAAGTGATATTTATTGTAAGTTTTGTTATGCAAGAACATAAACAAGCTCTGTGCATTCCATACACATAGTTCAAATATACCAAAATGATGATCAATGTAACATACTACAACATCAGTAGGTTCCATGAAATAATATAGGACCATAATTTAAAACACATTTTAAAGAGATAAGTTACAAAGATCCATGGTGGGTGTTAACTCGAGAATACTTGACACTGCCACTAATTTCAAACAGTAAGTCATAAGAAGGCTTTGCGAAGTCATATAGGATAAGTTGTTAGAGGCTGGGACTAAATTACTATGGATATCATACTTTTAAAACGTTTTTTGAACATCCTCTATGTTCTATGCTGATAGGTTAGCTTTTCCCTTTTAAGAATATGAACTACGGCAGGCCATAGACAAGTCGAAAACAGAAAGTTCTGTAGATCAAAAAACGAAAATGGTGCATACAATTGTGCCATCATTTGTGTAGTTTTTTTTTTTAACAAAATCCAGCATGTTGGTACTTTCGTTTGCGACATGAAAATTGTGTGTCGCAGCTCACACACTAATGATACGAAAAACAAACAACTAAAGATTTTCGTTCGGTTTTTGACTCGTCTATGGCCGGCCTAACTGCTTGTTGCCATTGTGGGAGTGGAAGATAGCCATTTATGAGCCACCACACTGTGTGCTAAGAACAGTAAACATTACTATTATTTGAGTGCCTGAGATAGCAACCTTTCTGGAATAATAATTAAATACTCAGTCTTAGGATCCATAAGAAGAGTGAAAGGACATTGTTGATCAATTGCAAAATATATGTCCAGTACCTAAATAGTTTGGGGCAGCCTTTCTCAACCTTTTCAACATGGAGGAACCCTTGAAATAATTTAAGGTTTTGGGGAACCACTGCTAATAGTTATATCTACAGCTGACAGTACATTAGTGTGATGATCAGTGGGAAGAATGCTCCTTACATTTCTGGCCATTGGGAAGAATCCCACCTTTACAGATAAGATTAAAAATAAGATCAGTGGTGTCAGTGGTTACTTATTTGAGAGGCAGAAGTTGCTTATTGCTCAAGAACCCCTAGCAATCTCTGGAGGAACAATAGAGTTCCACAAAACTCTGGTAGAGAGAGGCTGGTTTAGGGCAACTGCAAAACATGTAAATTAAAGTACCAGTATTACCCATACACCTAGGAGAGGTAGCCCACCCCCATTATATACAATTATTGTGGCGTATGATGCTGTGGTTTGAGGTGAGATAAAGAATATTCTCTAACTCCTTAGTGCATTGCGCATCCTTGGTGGGTCCCAGATCCTGTCTTTACCCTCACCACAACACAGTCAAATCTTAAAGCTGGATGCTATCAACAAGGCAGAGTAAAGATCACCTATCAATCCCTTTTTGGAAAGGCTTACAGATGCCACCATGCTAAAAATTTGTGAAGAATTATAGATTATTGTATCTGTAAGGCATGTTGTAAATATTGGGGAAAAAAAAGCTTAGAGAAGTGATTCTGCTCTAACAGAGTTTGGAGAGATGAAAGGATGCTATAATACAGCTGGTGGATGAAAATGATACTAGCTTCTTTTTCCACTTATCAAAGCCATCTAATTTAGATCGCTTAGAGCAAGTCGGAACTTATTTTTCTCTTTAAAGATTCCGCTCCATTTGGTGTTTGTTTTCCAGCATGTTGTTCTACACACAACTGAAAATAAGCAGCAAGCCCTTGTTTGAAGAGTTCTTTTGGTTTAAAGTGACCCTAAGGGATATCCTTATTCTTTAAAAATTATCCATACACATTCAGTACCTAAAGGCTCTGTAATCCATTTTAGTGAAATTGTTTCTTGTTGTGTTTTTCTGCTTGCTCATAATGTCATCCCTGAGCCCCCGAACCTCTCTTTTGCCCCCTCACTTCCATTTTTGTTTGGAATAAGCAGTGCATTTAGTTACAGTCATGTGCACTGCTCAATGCACAATACACATCCCATAGTCACTAGTCCATCTCAGGAGCAAGCAAGATATGGCTATGTTCCTGCAATACAGTGGGAGAATGACTGTAGCCATCCTACAAAGGAAGTTGGATCACAGCAGCAAAAAAAAAAAAAAAAGATTTTGGAGGCGACTGAGAGCAATAGAATGTACCCACAGCTGTCAGAATATACTGATCAGCGGCTGCAGCCGACGATCAAGAGATTTTTCAACATGTCACCCACATTGATTGAAATTTGTCCAGTCGCTGCTGAACCTGCCAAATTGGTGCATAATCAGCTAAAAGGATAGATAAACTCAAGAACACAAACATAATATATTGCAGCTTACAGTGTGCTTAGATGTGCTTGCTAGCTTAGTTTTCTTTTTTTGAAGGAAAGAACACTTTTAGTAAATACATAAAATACATGTTGAGCTTGTTAGAATTGTGATGTCTTTAGCACTTCCTATGAACAACTTCTGTAATTTACCAATTACCCTGCCTCCATGGAATGAAGAAGAAGAAATACAGGCATGTTTGTAAACTATATCGGAGGATAAGCCAAGAGTAACAACCATGGCTCCAGCCATAGATACATGGAGGATATAGCCACACTCAGAGACAGGAAGTATGTTATTTGCAGGATTACCAAGTAAAAATAATGCAGAAGAAGCTTGAAAAAAGCAAGCATATGTAGCCACCACTCAGAGGATTATTAAGACGCAGTATGTTACATTTTTGGCTTTGAATCAAAAGTAAACCTCTTTTACATTTCAACTTAATAATTATTTGATGTGATGCATTAGTTTCCTTTTTTTAGGGTTTTATCCTTTATTTTCACCTGGCGATCCAGCCAGTAAGTTTGTTGTTTTTCCAGAGAACAAGCTGTCCTGCACTGGCTTTTAAAAAAACTTTTAAAAAACAGCCACTCACCTGTCCCTCGGTCCCGTGGTGTGTCCCCCCACAGCTCATTTCACTGGCTGTCCTGTATTCCAGGAGGTCGGCATCTTCAGTGTGGGCACCCGGCTGTGATAGCTTGCGGCTTCACAGCCGGGTACCCACTGCTCATGCGCGAGTAGCGCTGCGCTTCATGAATGGTCCTTTAGTCTTCTGGGACCTGTCACGTGTCCCAGAAGACTACAGGGAGGGAGGGAGGACACCTTACGTTTCCGATCGCTTAGGCGATCGGACTGGAAATGGGAGTGGGTACCTGTCAAATTCGGGTACCCGCTCCCCAAAGGTGCCAATCCTTAATGGGGAGTGGGGGAGCAGTCCTTAAAGCGGAACCTCCCCTTTTGGGTGGAGCTCTGCTTTAATTTTGAGAAGGTGCTAATAATTTTGTGCAGTCCATTATTTGTGTGGAATGTGTCAAATTTGGCTTTTTGCTTCTCCACTGTTTTGTGTGATGCCAATACAAGCAAAATAAATAAACATTTGTAATTGCAGCAATTTTCTGGGCGAAGTGGTGCATTATCTGACAGAACTACAGGGGTGCCAATATTTGTGGCCTTGACTGTAGGTTTGTCCTCATCACCAGTTTTTCTGGCTTTGCTATCTGAGCCTGCTCTCTCTTTGGAGCTATCAGTCCTCAGATCTCAGCTGTCCAGAACATTTCAACTGCTACATTTCAGGAGCACATACCTTTGGCTCTGTTGGCACTTCACTTTTATGTATGCCTGAGGGCTCTTATCACTCCGATTTTAGAGCCATCACAGCCTACTCATGTGGGATCTGTTTTTAATTGGGTCTTTAGTGAATCTGATGTGCTCAATGTTACAGTTGTGTTCAAAAGATTGCACACCTTTTGAAGAATTGGTAATATGTATGTACCATTTTTGAAGAAAACATGAGTGAGCAGGCAAAAGACATTTCTTTTATTTCTTGTGCAATTCAAATTTAACTGTAAGTCTTATAAGAATGGCACAATCATAAAAAAAGATGGTAACAAGTAAACAAATGAAATAGCCCCTGTTCAAAAGTCCTGAGTTCTTAATACTGTGTATTGCCCCCTTTCGTATCAATGACAACGTGCACTCTTGATAGCTAACTCTGTAATAGTTGTCTATGAGGCCCAAAATCCTTGGATGTGGTATAGCTGGCAGCATTTCTGATGTGTGAAGGATGTGCTCTTTAGGGGCTACAAACTAGAGTTTGAATCTCTGTCTCCTCCCAACTTCCTGTTGGTAAATCAAACCACCATTCAACAAAGGCTTGAAGATCTCCTTGCTGCCTTGCCAGAACGTCCGGTTCAAGGAATCATCGCTGTTCCTCAAGCAGAAAGGTTTCAAGGTTTTTTTCCCCAACCCTATTCACTGTTCCCAAAGTCATCCACCCTATCCTGGATTTCTACGTACTCCATTTCTTCATTTAAGTGCAAACAATTTGCTTGAAAACCAACAGGTCGGTCATTACTTTTCTTCATCTGGGAGACTATCTGGCCTCTGTGGACATCAAGGACTCATACTTGCTTGTCCTCATCTTTCCAGCACATCAACACTTGTTTTGCTGTGGGCTGACGACACTACCAGCTTGTTTCCCTTGATTTATTTTGCTTTTGCACTGAGTGTTCACCAAGGATCTTAGATCCGGTGCTAGACTATGTCAGCTAGACTGTCCTGGCCTCACAATGGTTAAATCCTACACCTTTAAAAGTCATCACAGGAACTGACTAATTGCTTAGATTATCTGTATCTGATGCTGGATGTGACTTAGTCTAGAGTTTTCCTTAACCAAGTGAAACTCCACACCACCTCCTTCAAGGCATTGCAACGCAAAGTTTTGGCTGTGTGGGACAGGAAGGTACAGTTGTTGGACCTACTAATGCCCCTGACACCCAGGACAAGGTTGTCTGTGGCCAGGTGATTTGCCAATCCAGGCCTAAAATCAAGTACATCTACTCGCCTGGAAACTCCTCACAGCAGATGCCAGCCTGACTGGCTGAGGAGGAGTTCTGGATACCTTGAAAGTGCAAGAACTTGGTGGCCAGTCAGACCCTAAATTAAGAAAATTATTTATTCCACTTTCCTGGAATCCTGACAAATGACAGGCTGGGGAAGGGGGTCTGGATATTATGACAATGCAAGGAACTTGGTCGCCAGTAGAAACTTGTCTCTTATCAAGATACTGGTGTTTTGAGTGATCGGTCTGTCCCTATATTAATTTACTTGTCAACTGCACAGTCATCGGATTAGCACCCAGTGCAACAACACCACAGCAGTGGCATATATTAGTCATCAGGAAGGAACCAAAAGTCTTACTGTGGAAAGTAAAGCGGAACTAATTCTGTCTTGGGTAGAACTTTATGTTCAAGCCTTATCCACTGTCCACATTCCAAGTGTGGACAATTTGCTAGTGAATTACCTCAGTTGCCAGCACCTGGACTAGAGAAAATGAAGAAGTGTTTCCAAGGTCTATGTCTCAGGTGGGGGACACCTAATATGGACCTTCCAACCTCCAGATTCAACAGGAATCTACAGGTGCAGGGATCCCCTGACAGAAGCAGTGGTTGCCCTGGTTGGCTCTGTGGGATCAGTACAACCTGATCTATCTCTTTGCTTCTTTGTAACTCCATCATCATCTTCTCTGCAGAAGGGCATTCCTATGCTTCTAATTGCTCCGAACTGGCTCCGGAGGACTGATTTATGGTTGTTGGCTTTAGTGGCCTAACTGTTAAAGTCTTGGTCCTAAGTGAATAGGGGTCTTTCTGACTGTCATTCTTATGCTACTGAAAGCCAGGAAGTCTACTACACATAAAGTTTACCATTGCACTTGGAAGGCTTGCTGCACATGGAAGGGGTTGGAGAGGAACTGCAAGTTGGAGCACTGTCATGTCATCTACCTTAGATTTGTTCAGGGTTAACCCCTAAAGCGCTGCTGGCTTTTCATTAGTTTGAAAGCCCAACAGCTTCGGTAAGAGTTCCTACTCACCTTTGTATCACCAGGGATTTGGAGGTGTCACTTCTTTTTCCGGTCTCATTGGATGAATGGGTCCTTTCTCTTTTTCCCGTTAATGGTTGGAATCACTTTGTATTGTGAATTTAATTGGAGCACGGACATTTATGATGGACTTTATTTCTTCCTCCAGTCTCATTGGATGAATTGGTCCTTTCTCTTTCTCCCTTTAATGGCTAGAAGCAGTTTGTATTGTGGATTTAATTGGAGGTTTTTGTATATCCTACCTGTGTCAGCCTCTTTTACTATATACTTTTTAATCTGAGTGCAGAAATTGATTGCATTTTAAGGCTTGCTGCTTTGCCTTGTGCGAGGTGAGGAAATTTCATCCTACGAAATACTCATCGTGAAAGAACCTGTCCTTTCTACAGTCCAAACTGGATCAACATCTGGTTTTAGATACCATTAAGAGACAAATTTCAGTGTTCCAAGCACTTATTGCTTCAGGTTTCCTAGTCAAAGTCTTTGTATATGGTATATCTAACATAATCTCACCTGTGCAAACTCCAGTGAGTTCTGTGGTCAGATCTATTCATGTTCTCAAAGTACTTCAATGACCTTCTTTTGAACTGTTTAGAGGTATCTGCTTGTCTTCTCATAAAGCAGCTATCATCTCTGCTAGATGAGTGTTTGAGCCTTATCTTGTAAAGAATCCTTTCTCATTATTCACAAGGAAAGGGTTGTTTTGAGACCCAGAGCCTCTTTTCTTCCTAAGGTGGTTTCTACCTTCCACCTTAACTAGGACATTGTTCTTCCTTCTCTCTGTTCTACTCCAGTTCACCCTAAGGCAGTATCTCTCCATTTCTTGTGGTCCGAGCTGTTCATGTCTACCTCCCATCTATGTCTTCTCTCACACAAGCTGACTTTCTTTTTCATCCCGTAAGATATCTGCAAGGGCCATCCTATGTTCCATTTCATCATCTTTCACTGGATCGGACACATTACTGTTTAATCCTATTGGTTTAAGATTAAGGTTCCACAATTTTCTGTTAAAGCGCACTCTACCAGATTTAGGAGTGCTTCCTGGGCTTATAGGTATGGTACCTCTCTCTCCCAGATTTGTCTTCTGTTCACACGTTCTACAAGTTTTACCAGATCAGTGTTCAGGCAACATCAGCTGCAAGCTTTGGACATAAGCTCCTGCAGGCAGCTCTTTAACCTGCAGGAACCCCCAGTGTTTTGCTTCACTGTTTGTTTTTTCTTTTTTTTTACTCTTAACCTGCTAACATTGTGTTGCTGTTTTGCTCGACCCTCAATTTGACTGCTTTGGGACATATCTGTGTTTCTGAATTCTACTGCTTCTGTGCCTTTTGAAGAGAATAAGAAAACAGGATTTTTGCACACCCTGCAATATGCCTTTTTTGGCGTTCATAAAGGCACACAGGTTCGTGTTCATGATCTATCCCTAATGCCTCATTTCTAAAAAAAAAAAAAAAAAACCAAAACACTGAAACAATCACGGGAGTGGGAGGAGTTGTTCTTGGCCAGCCAGATGCTTTTTTTTGTTTGCCAGTGTCCGAATCCTCCTCATTATAATTTAACATTCCTGAATTTTACTGTTCCTATGCCCCTTGATGAACTACAAAAAAAGGATTTTATGGTGAATGAAAAAAAATATTATTTACAGTGTAACCGTCTATAGAAACATCTGTCATTTTTAGAGGCTGTTCTATGGAATTATAACTTGGGCAGCATGAGTGGCTGTTCCATGAAAAAATATCTTATTATGAATATTTCGGGGGGTTCTGTCTAACCATTGCTCAATTATATGTACACTCTATTATAAAGTTTTCACTTGTTACTTGCACCCCACAGGAGAATTATGACATGATTCGGGTGTTTCTACTAATTAATATAAACCTGCAATAGCTTATAGTTATGGTAGTTGTACATAAAATATTTTTTTACGTTTTTAATAAATGTTTAGAGGTCGGTACCACAGAGGCATAATGGCAACCACCAAAGGGGTACAATAATAGTATCTTATATTGTGAGGTATATAAAAAATAGCCAATGCTTTATGATATAAAGTTGAACTGTAAACTTGGCATAAGGCTTGGTCTGGTTATATTTTGGGAGACAAACAGCAGTTTTTCTTAATTGATTTTTCTTTGTTTGAAGAGTTTTTTTTTTTGTTTTTTTTTGCAGGTCAGAGCTGTGCACATTGGAATCGTTTTTCCTCTGCAATGGGTACCTGTGAGCAGTGGATGCAGGAACTTGCCCAAGAGAGGCAGGCAAAAGAGGACTGTAATGACAATACGCTAGGAAAAATGCCATCTCCGAAACATGGTAATTTTTAAAGTTTATCCAAATCCAAGGACAATAATACACTGCTCAAACAAATTAAAGGAACACTTTTTAATCAGAGTCAATTAAACTCCTGGGATATTGATCTGGTCAGTTAAGTAGCAGAGGGGTTTGTTAATCAGTTTCAGCTGCTTTTGGTGTTAATTAAATTAACAACAGGTGTACTAGATGGGAAACAGTGAGATGACTCCCCAAACAGGAATGATTTTACAGGTAGAGGCCACTGACATTTTTTTCCCTACTCATCTTTTCTGACTGTTTTTCACTAGTTTTGCATTTGGCTAGGGTCAGTGTCACTACTGGTAGCATGAGCCGATACCTGGACCCTACAGAGGTTCCACAGGCAGTCCTATTCCTCTAGGATGGCGCATCAATACGTGCCATTGCAGAAGGTTTGCTGTGTCTCTCAGCACAGTCTCAAGAGCATGGAGGAGATGATACACATTAAGAGGTGATCAATATAGCACATGAGAATCTTAAGGTTCCTTGCATTTCCGAGGCCGGACAGACTTTTATCATTACAGGTAGAAGGGGTGCTTCTGATATATATCAGGCATGTATCTAAGAGGAGAAGAGGTGTATGGAGTATTCATAAGGAGTGGAGGAAAACAACGGAAATATATTCATACATGTTATCTGAAAGAGAATTTGAGGTGAGAGTTCTGGGAACACTTTGGTGGCACAAGATTGCACAAAGTGAATTTGAAGAAGCACGAGCACTTTGAATATTATTGGTATTGGACACTTATGTGATATATGGACTGATGTAGTGAAGCCATATTAATTATTTATATTTTGTTTGTTAAGATATATTTATTCTTTGCACATATGTGATGTATTCATGTTCACGTGTTTGAGTAAGCAGCTCTAAATCATTTGTTTTATATATTTTTTTTGCACATATTATGTGTGAACACATGTAAATGTCAGCAGCAGCATACATTGATTGACACATTTAGGTACTTTAGTTGGCGCAGGAGTTTTTTCACTATTTTTGATACCAGTGAATGGCCCCCACACTCGCCTGACCTAAATCCAATAGAACACCTTTGGGATATCATGATCAGTCCATCTGACGCCACTAGGTTGAACCTCATACTGTCCAGGAGCTCAGTGATGCCCTGGTCCATCGTCTCATTAGGAGCATGCCCCGATGTCAGAAATGCATACAAGCACGTGGGGGTCGTACAAACTACTGAGTACCATTTTGAGCTGCTGCAATGAAATTTCAGCAAAATGGACTAGCCTGCTGCATCTTTTTTTCACTTTGATTTTCAGGTGTCTTTGAATTCAGTCCTCTGTAGGTTGATAATTTTAATTTCCATCAAACAATGGGGCATCCTTATGTTGCTAACAGATTACCCAGTCCATATCATTATAGATATCCAGCATGATATTTTTGCCTATTGAGATCTGATGTGTTTTCAAATTGTTCCTTTAATTTTTTTGAGCAGTGTATAATATATAGTGCAGCTTACCAGTCCATAGATGTGGTGTCTGCATTTATGTAATTTTTTTAGGCATTGTTTTCTCTTAATTTTTACCTAGTGATCCTGTAGGCACCACAGACAGAGAGCAAAGAAAGATATTTGCTCACAAGATTTCTGAAAAGGTCAACAGATTTTATTTTCCATGTGTCGACCAGATACAATAAAATGCTTTTGCATGTATAACAGATCAAAAAGGACCAATGAAAAGAGGTTCATTGTTCAGATTTACATACCATTTTAATATTTGGAAATTGCCTCTGCAAACCTTGTTGTAGTTAACTAATCTTACCACTTCAATCTTTCACTAATTAACTGTGCTAAAGGCTAGTTAATTAGTGTCTTACACTTTTATATAGTATTGTATTTAGAACCAGTGGATAAACAGGGATTGGCATATTGATTCTAGATCTCTAAACATTACTGGATTTCTGTTTGCATGGCCACTGTTAAAAACTAGCCAAGAACTACTTTCATCCTTGTCTGCCTAGATAGACCTAGATATCCATTCCTATGTACGGTAAAGGAACCTGGATCCTCAAGATATGAGCAAGCTACATGTGCTTTAATTTCCCTGCATAGTTTTTTTTTATTCAATGTGTCTTCCTTTGCGCTGTACATAACTATGGTTATTTTTCCTCAGGCAGTGCAGGATCATCTTCCTCCCTTTACTTCCGTTCTGTGCTGATCAGAGTAGATGATATGGACATTCATCAGGTAGGAAGATGGAACTATAAAATCACAAGAACTAGTTTGTCGTCCTGTACTGGTTTATAACTGCTTTGTTCATCCTTCAAAGGTATCTTCCTCTGGACAAAGCCCACAAAAACCGCCACTTATTTCATGTGGTCATATTCCTGGTGCTTGCTCTGCTGTGCACCTTCAGTACACCGAGTTTTATCGTCTTCCAGGAGACAGCCTTCCAGGTGCTTTAGTAATTATTTATTCATGACTATTCTTGTTCTGTTTTATTTGTTTAGCGTAGAGAATGCCCCCTCTGTTCTTGTTGTTCATTTATTCTTTCTCTGCAGTGCCTCCTCCTGCTCTGTACATACAGTTACATGGTCTGCTGTTATACATTGCTACCCAGTCTGTTCTGTGGCTGAATTATTTTATGATAGACCTATCACATCACCTTCAGCAGTTTGCTGCTGTGACTTCTATTGTAAATGAAGAAGCTGGGGAGCACAGAGATGTGCGTTTGGATGGATTTAACCTTAAGGTTTGCCTTACATCTACTTACTACCTTGTCAGTTCTTTTTCTGTCATTTTTTTTCTCTCATCTGTATTTGTTTTCTTGCCTTACAGCTAAGCTTCCCTGTGCCACCTCCTTCTTACAGCCCACCTGAACGTCCTTCTTCAATATGTGCCCATCTTACCTCAGTTACCCTAACAAACACACGGCAAGCTCCTGGGTCAACCATTGACTTTCTTCAGAATACCTTCCGGTCCTTTGCTGCTCATGAAGCTTTTCATTGTCCTCCAGGACCTTTGCACCCTACATTTTTGTCTCATGTGTATCCTTCATCTGAGTCCCCATCAACATCTTTATGGAGTTTACATAGTCCTGGTTTGTCTTTGCGATTTGAAGGAGGTGTTCCCAAACACCAGTTACTTCTCCACCCCATGCCATTTACTGCCTGGGCCTGCCTTTTAATATCTGAACGACAACTACAGGTTATGTTCAATGTGGATCAAATGGTACGATTGCAGCTGAACCACTACCATTACCTCACTTTACTACGTTTACAGGAGCAGGTCCAGGCCTTGTTGGAAGGGTTGCAAAATCTGGCAAATTCACCATCACACTTGGCCATAGAAATGCCTCCTCTCTGCCCTCCTGCAGTCTGTGTTGGTCTACTGATTCCAGTGGTTACTATTTCCCTTATGCTCCCTGCTTCCCTCTCCCCAGTGCAGCCAGAGGACTCTGAGAGGAGCAGCCTTACTGGATTTGAACTGACAGATGGAGACACGGGAAGTGAAAGGGAGAAGAACAAGTTAATTCCAGTTAATAAAAATGAGATTTCACTTCTTGGACAGGAACCAGCACAAGAACCTCAGGAGGAGTTTTTTGTGCACTCAGGAATATCTGCTCAATCTGATGAACATATCAAGGCAGAAAAAGTAGAAGTGCCAGTAAAAGACAGTCCAAATAAGGTGGTAGTTCAAGATACTACACAAGCAAAGGAACTTTCTGTTGATCTGTTTCTGGGGAAGGATTTTACACGTGACACTTTGCTTAACACACTGGGTCTGACTAAAGAGACTTTTAGCTTTGGGAAGGAAAGAATGCAGCGTCTTCTGGGTGACACTAAACATAAGTGTGTGATACTTCACCTGAACTTACCACATTATACACAAATTCTTTATGCCATACATAGACCATTGGTCTTTCTTTTTCCTGGTACCATCTCCATGTTATTATCTTTGCTGCATTTCCACACCTTTTTTTTATTTATTTGTTAATAGATCTACTTTCTTTTCCTATTATGTGTCTTTCTAACACAATATAATGTTTGCTGTTTGTTTTATTTCAGGGACGTGGATGCTACCCATAATCTGACAAGCTCACCTCTTTCTCGCACACAGTCTCTTGACACAGTTTCGATAGAGGGGCTGGATGTTTTATCTTTGGACAGTGAAACCACTGAGAATTTCTTACTTAAATTGGATGCTGGTAAATTAAAATACAGAATCCTTGATCTTTAGCAAGTGTTACGATAAAAAAACGTTGTGTGTAAAGTCAAGCAGTGTCTGAACTGATAATTGTATAGTATAAGGCTAGTGACCAGGTTAGGCTGTATGCCATTGGGGATATTTGGTTTCCCTGTGGGCTTTCTGTTGGCATACAGCTGGTTAACTTGTGAGAAGGATTTTGCATTTGAGTGGATGACCGTTGTGAGAAAGCTATTTGCAGGATTTATATGAATGATACTGCTTAAACTGACACTTTAGAAAGTAGCCTCTTCCTGATGAACCAGACGCTGCTGCTTGAAATGTGCAAAGGCATTCCAAATTGTGACCATTACATCAATAATCTACTGATAAATATTTACAGTATGTTTAATGAACTACAAACTTTCGAGCGTGTCTGGTATGAACTGTTATGCTATGGTTGTATAGTGAACAAGTTTTTAAAGGATGAGTCCACCTTTGAGAACATGTTACATATTCCACTCGTTTTTTGTCCCCAATGCTGCATGGCACCAACCAAAAATATTTTGCCTGCAAAAAAACATGCATTTATTATTTTTAGTGAAAAGGTTAACTTCTCCTTTAAGCTTGATCTGGAAAAAAAAAAAACAACAACAAAAACGGATATAATTCTAATATGATTTGTTAATGTAACATTTTATGTTTGGTATCTAGAAGGTCCTGTATCCATTATTTTATGCTACAAACAAATAGGAATAGAGATTCCAGTTGATACTTGAAATGGATCTACATTTTCACTCCCTATTGCACATTCTGTCTATTTTTCAGCTGCCTCTTTTGTTCTCTACAGATGGGTCTGCTGTTCTAAAACAAAGGGTCAAAAGTGATTGTGGGACTGATTTAACCAATGAATCTGCACTTTCATTGCCTTTCTACATACATATAAAGGCTTTCTCTTACCCTTCATTCACCCTTATCTGCAATGTATGCCATGGTAGTGAAAACTCCAACTTTTGTGTTTAGTTTTAGATACAGTATGGAAAGAATTAGAAGTTTCTGTTTTTTTATTGCTGTTCAAGTGTCTACTAGAAATATTTCCTCTCACTTCCTGTCTCAGACACAAGAGGAATTAAGAGAAAATCTCTGCAAAGTGAAGGTAAACTCTCACCTGATAGTTGACACCGGAACAGATGTCTCAGTATAGAGATTTACCTTCTACTTCTTTTTTTTTTTTTTTTCAACTGTAAAAATTTAGATATGCAAAGCTAGAGAAAAAAATAATGGTACCATTTAAATCAAAGAGGAATGTGTAATGTAATTGTTCTAAGCAAATAAATCCTTTTATATATTATTGTTTTAGAATTGGAAGTTAATGTAGAAACAGCATTATCTGATCAAGACACCACCTCTCAGAGTACAGAGGGTCCTGAACCACAGCAGGTAAGTGAGGCAATTACAACCATAGTGACAGAGAAGAGCTTAAATTAAACTGATATGTAACAAATGCAATTGCAAAGGATAGCCAATGTTCATAAAAAAAAAAAAATCTAATTCAGTCTGTGAGTTTTTTTTCTGTTATTCCATTTTTTAGATTTTGACTTTGGCCCTTCATCATGTCACCTCTGTGACTCGCGTACATGGGGAAGATGTCTCTGTTACTGTTCAAGCTTTGGACCTCAGCTGTGCACAGAAGATTGAAGATTTGAAAGGTAAGAGGCATATGAGAATTCAGTCTGAAAAATGACACTTTTCTTATTCTATATAAATATGAATAATGTTGGTCCCTGTTTATTAATGCGTCTGAAAGTTCTGAATGTTTTTTTTTTCTTCTTTTTTATTGCAAATTAAAACTTGAATTTGGTTGTTACAAGCAACATGAATAGTAGCTTGTGCGCTTTTATTATTAACTTATGTCTCTTGCGCACAAGCCCCTGCAATGTGAGTTCTGAAGTTTTTCTTCCACACAAAAAGCTCAGGTGCTGTGTGCAGCCACCCATAAACATAAATAGCTGAGTACAGTCATGCACAGCCATTCACATCTATGGGCAGCTGTATGCTGTGTCTGGGCTTCCTGGGTGGGGAAAGTATGCTGGCATTAAGGTTGCAGGTGCTCAGCTGCTTGTATGCAAGAGGCCTTTATATATCTGACTGCACAGTTGGAGAAATTTTAAAACTATGTTTATAAACTATATTTGTAAACTTTAGTGAATCCAAACACACTTCATATACTGGATTCACAGACGTCCATAGCAGAAATATCAGCAACATTTATGACATTCACAATGCTGCGAAAGTTCAAACCATTGATTGTTCTATAGGAAAATTTGTAGTGAATCTTTGTAAATAGCACAGGATGCAAATGGTTGTGATTTTGCATAAAGGATACAGACAGTTGTAATTTAGCACAGTCTGATTGTCTGCCTGTTATTGGAAATTATCTAAATATATTTCAATAATCTTGGATTTTAAAGCTTACAATGACTGAAAATACAATAAACAAATTAGCAGAACACACAGATTTATCATCTTATTTTAATTTATCTTCTCTTTTTGTGTGCAATCCTCTTTATAGATATCGTATATGAATTTATACGTAGTACTGATGTGTATTCTACATCTTTTTTATAAAACATCTAAGTACATAGTACAGAATAACGGTTCATATCAAATCAATTTGCCAACTGTCTAAATGTTTTTATCAGTGTTGCAGGAAAATAATTATGTTCTGCCCAGAATAGATGGGATGCCAGGGTGATAATAGACTGTAAAAATGGGAATGCACCACTTTATAATGGTTTTATCTCCGGAGCAAAGTTTTTAGTGGATGTTACATTGGCGGAGTTATAAATTGGATGATGAGCGCAGTCAGCACCATTTAACATTCAAGAACAGAAGTTGGTGAATGTTTATGAATTTCATTTGTACCAGCAAATGTGCAGATGGATCTTCCTCAAAAAAATGTGCTAGCAATTGTTTTTTAAAACTGCACACTGGGTTTAACAATTGTTATCTAAATACAAGAGGCATGTCAAAAATAAAGAGAACCAAGTCTGGCACTCTTTAGGTGCCCCTCATATATTTGACAATGACTTGCATTAAAATGGTTTCCATTTCAATACTTTTATTTGCATCCAAGAAATGTTACATATTAAATTGCCCCTTAGGTAACATGACATCATAGTTACATGATACTGACTATCCAACACCCTAGGTTTTTGACATATACGGACGGTTAATTGTATAGCGATATTAGATTAGGATATACTGATGGGGTGAGGGCGTGTAGTTCTTGCAACATGTTTCAAAGGTTACCACCTGTTTCTGCAGGAACTGTGGAACTTTAAAGCAGTAGTAAACTTTGCTTTTTGACTTGTACCTACAGGTAAGCCTATAATAAGGCTTACCTGTAGGTTCAGTAAATGTCTGCTAAACTTGGTGTTTAGGAGATATTTACGCTTGAAGCACCAGGTGATGTCACTGGCGCATGTCCACTGTGCTTTAAATTAACAGCACACTGAGTGTGCCATCCATTCAGAGTGCTGTTCCGCGACTATGACACTCCCTTACATATACACAGGAGTGACTTTATAGTGGCCCGGCCATTTAAACGACCAAAGAGCACAAATCCAGAAGGAAGACTGGGTGAAGATGGAAGCGCCAACATCAGTGACAGCGTGCCGCTGGAGGGCTTCAAGTCTGTCGTGCTAGTATCAACCTTATTAATACAAAACTGCTAATGTAAAAAATAAGCTGACCTGAAGGGCAACCATGCAGAGCATATTGCTCTGTTAACATAAAGCACTCGCCAAAATAGCCCCCCCATCAGCATTGCACATGCCACTGGCCACAGAGGGGGTGTGTGACATCACATCAGGCTGATACGTCATGTACAGGCTGGTGGCGATGTCATACCTAGAAGTTGTATTGCCACTGAGCTGCCCAGAACATGCCCTACCAGTGCAACTTACAGAGATGCACACGGAGGGTGTCTACACGTTAAGATTTGCACATCTAGTTGCCAAGATCCAAACTACTTCTTTAGAGAGGACAGCATGAAAGGTCAAAGTTTGAGTTCTCTTTTTTTTTTGTTTTTGTTATCTGACAATAAGGATGTGATACATCTTAAGCAAGGCTGGCCACCCCTTTAAATTTAATATAAATGCAAGAGGTATGTTTATTACATAAATCTGGGAGTACCTCGTATATATCTTCCTGATTTCTACAGCATTCCTTCATGAAACAAATTTCGAACATTGCCTCCATGAAGGAGTTTCTTGTAGTAAAGACCAGGCAGTGATTCTCTCCTTGTGCAGAGTGACTGGTCTTGTGTCCTCCTCCTGCAATTTTTACAGGCGGTCTGTATTTGGGGGACCAACTATTTCCTACCCACAGCTCTGCTATCTGCAAGGTTTGCAGAACTGTGATTGTGAAAATTTAGTGCACGCAAGTGGATTTACATAGTAAGTGGCTATTGAGGAATGTATGTAAATAAATATTTTTGTGTCTGGAATTCAGCTTTAACAATTTCTCTAAGCCAACATTTTAACCAAGCTATCAATAAATAGATCGAAAAAGGACACTTGTAGGAAAAAAAAAGCTTTCACAACTAAGGGTTTATGTACACTGGGCTTTTATAGTTTATAATATATGCCTAAATTTGCATAATTTCAGGTGCCCAGGAAGGCACACATGCTGCGTACAAACCTCACATATGTGCCCAATATATTTTTTGACCCTAAAAATTCCATGTTCATTGTATAAGATGATTGCCGTCGATACAAATCATAAATAAAACATGTAAAAGAAAAATAATATGGTGTAAAATGTTATACAAGGCTGTCTTAAAATTGATGGAATTTACATGTAAAGCTGAAATATGAACTGGCCTATAAAATGTAATTGCCCCCTACCAGCATATGCAATATATATGCTTAGGGTGGATCTAAAAGAGGTGAATACTTGCCTTAATCCATGTTCTTGCAACAGTTTATAGTCCGATCCTCTTCTCTCCAGTCTGGCCCTCGACGTCATCAAGTACAAAGTATTGTGCATGATGATTTAGGCGAGAGGCACAGCAACACAAAAGAGCTAATTTGGTGGTTCAGTCATCACTACCACAAACCGCCTGGAGGAAGATTGCAAGACCATGGGTCTCTCTGCTAAATTATCCACAGGGAAAACAAGCATTATTTTCAACATGGACTTTGGGGCCAGAATTGGGCTTTAGGAATTCTATTTGAATGTAAATGCTAAACTTTTTTTTTTGGTATATTTAGGTTGAATCTTGTATTGTCTATTGTACAACACATTATAAAATCACTTCTATTTTTACCTCTACCAGCCCCTGTGACAAGTATTCCTGGAACTCCTCCTTCTTCTCCCCGTCTACTCCTCGTGTCACATTGCACTTTGATCTCGGCCCAGCTGCAGCCTCCTTCTCCCCACTTGCTGAGCGTAATGGATTTCTACAAATGTGGATTCAAGATTTTTGCTCAGAGATACCAGTTTCTGCAATAACCCACCTAGGACCTTTCCTAGAGGATGAAAAGATTCCCGAGATACTTCCCATGATCATTCAGGTCAACAATAGCAAGATCACGCTTAATGTGAGTATGTACAATGTGAAAAAAATATGTCAGTGCAACTTTTCCTGTTTGCATTGCACAAATTACACTCAAAGAACTTTGCTAAGCACTATTTACATATTCGCTGGTAACCTAGCCAAACCCTAATGTATTTTCAGGAAAACCATAAGCCTCTGTGTAAAAAGTAAAAAAAAAAAAATGTATTGAGTCCCTATGCAAGTGAAATCTGCACATCAGTTTCCCTCAGTTTTTATGCATGTATAGTGTGAATGTGTTTAAAAACTTGTCCCCCGCTTCCCATTAAGGATTGGTACCTTTGGGGACGGGTACCCCGAAATTGACAGGTACTCACCTAGGCAATCGGAAGTGGAAGTTGTCCTCCCCCACCCCCCGTTAAGACTACAGGACCATTCAGAAAGTGCAGCGCTACTCGTGCATGCACAGTAGGCACCCAGTTGTGAAGCCGCAATCTGTCACAGCCAGTTGCACACAATAAAGATGCCGATGCCAGGAACACCGGACGGCCGGGAAAACGGGTTGTGGGGAGGACACCGCAGGATTGAGGGACAGTTTTTGTGTAGCTGCTGACTTTTACTTTTTTACAGTGTGACTGGAAATACATTTTTTTTTAACCACTTACCCACCGCCGTATAGCAGATATACTGCTACACAGTGGTATTTTATATATATATATATATATATAGAGAGAGAGAGAGAGACACCATTATATTCGCAATAGCAAGATCTGCGGATAATGCCAATCACCAGGTCCTGGCCGGTGATTATCCACCAGCACCCGATTACCAACAATCACCGATGGGGAGGAACACTGTTTTGTTTACAAACCATCTTCCTTCCTGTCAGCTTGGGCACACTGTGCACAGCCATACCAATTAGTGTGCTGTACAGTGAAGAACACCTCCCGCCCCTATTAAACCACTCCCGACACACAGTTAACCCTTTGATCGCCCCTCACATTAACCCCTTCCTGCCCAGTGTCAGTACAGTGTCAGTGCTGTTTTTTTTTAGCACTACCACTGTATTGGTGTCACTGGGGATGATACCAAGTAACACCAAGTTGGTGTGTGTCCCCCCCCCCCCCCGTGTCAGAATGCGCGCCGCAGTCCCCGCAGGATTGAAAAGTCGCTAATTGCATTTTACACCGAAAAAAAAAACTCCCAGTATCTATACTGCCATTTGTAAACGCTATCACTTTCATGTAAACCAATTAATTTACACGTATTGGGATTTTTTTTTTCTTTAGCAAAGACGTCGCAGGAATACATTTTGGCCTAAATGTATGACGAAATTAGTTTTTTTTTTTTGTTTTTTACTGGACATGTTTCATAGCAAAAAGTCCAAAATATTGTTTGTTTCTCAAAATTGTTGGTCTTTTTTTGCTTATAGAGTAAAAAATAAAAAAAAGCACAGACGATCAAATACCACCGAAAGAAAGCTCAATTCATGAGGGAAAAAGGACGTAAATTTAATCTGGGTGTGGCGTTGCATGACCGTACAATTGTCAGTTAACGTAAGTCAGTGCCGTATATCAAAAAATGGCCTGGTCAGGAAGGGGGTAAATCCTCTGGAGAGCAAGTGGTTAAATTTTTTTTTTTTTACCTGAACACCAAACTCATCAATTTAACAGTTTCACAAAAATCTGTTACATTTCTGGCATGCCAGGTATGCCAGCTGTCACATTTGTTTGTGCTTTTAACTAAACTGTCAAACCATCAAATGGCATAACTGATCGCTTGTGCAGTACCATGGCAGTTGCAGATCAAACAGAGGGTTTAGTTCCTCTTGACCTATTTTTAGAAGAGACACAGGGTTTCAGGATGTTACATATGTATATTCTATGTATGCATTATAATGTGGCATTGTGTATTATGGCGCATACCGATAGTACACAGTAATTGTAATTTGATTTTTTTGGGGCTTATTGTTATGGTCAATTGCAGGAAAAAAATTCCAATAAAAATTATTGGTTATTATTTGAGTTTATCAATCTGAAAATTGACTGGTTTCTTTTATGGTTCTGCTTTGTTGAACATTGTTATTGCCTTGTTATACTATGAAAATATGTAAACCCAACATTTCATTTTCTTGATATGTGCCTGCTGTACAGTGTACTTGTATGAAAACGTTTCCTGTTTGTATTGCTTCATTTATGTGAAATACCTGGTGTTCCTGCCAGTCCCTATGCTTTCCTATTAAAAACTGACCTCCCTAGGCACGAGAGCACAGTGTGATCAGTGTTTTGGCTGTGCTGGGGGGGGGTAATCCAGTGATCAGGCTTATGCTGACACCCCTACATCCCCTGCACAGCCATCTTCTGCACAGCCATTCACTGGGAAGTCCAGTGTCCTGCTGTTTCACCTCCCCAGCTCCTTATACAACTGAGAGTATGTGATCACTTATAAATTAAAAGCAAAACATTTATGTATAGATATGAAATATTATAAATACCTTTTTACCCTTTTTATATTTTAAAATGATTGGTTGTTTTACAAGGTGGGGGTTTACATATACTTTAAAGTATCCCAATATTCTTATTGGTGTACTTTAGGTAAAATTCATTAGCTACTTGCCCTCCAAAGGATTTACCCTCTTCCTGACCAGGCCATTTTTTGTGATACGACGTTGCGTTACTGTAACTGACAATTGCGTGGCCATGCAACGCTGCACCCAAATGAAATTTTATGTCCTCTTTTTTCCCACAAATAGGGCTTTCTTTTGGTGGTATTTGATTGCCTCTGTGTTTTTTATTCTTTGCACTATAAACAAAAAAAGACCGACAATTTTGAGAGGAAAACAATATCTTTGACCTTTTGCAATTAAACCCGTCCAGTAAAAAATTTTAAAAATCAAAATTCATCATAAATTCAGGCCAAAATATATTCTGCTACATGTCTTTGCTGAAAAAATCCCAATACGTGTAAATTAATTGGTTTACGTGAAAGTTATAGCGTCTACAAATGGCGGTATATGTACTGGAATTTTTTTTGTTATACCCGTAATGGCGGCGATCAGTGACTTATGGGAACTGCAGTGGGCATTCTGACACTGGGGGGAGGGGGCGGACTAACTGTCACTGACATGCCCAGTGACACTGATACAGTGATCAGTGCTAATAAAAAGCACTGACACTGAACTAATGACACTGGGCAGGCAGGGGTTAACATCTGGAATGATGAAAGGGTTAACTGTGCTCTGTGTGTTTCACTGTGTAAGCACTGCTATGCAGAGCAATACAAAGCAGTGTGCAGGAGCTGACAGGGGAGAGATCTGTATTATTTACATACAGACCTCTCCCCCATCAGTGATGCTCGGCGATCGCCGGGTGCCTGTGGGGAATCACTGGCCAGGACCCATTGAACAACAGCTAAGGATGCCAATGGCGGCACGGGTAGGAATCACCCGGAAAAGCAAAATAATGTATATATACGTGAGCTTGCGCAGCCCTGCCGCCCTGTAGCAGTATTTCTTCTATATGGCTGCAGGAAATCGGTTAAAGTCTGAAGTATTTACAATGGTAAGTGACATCTGTACAAATGGTAAACAAATAGTATGGTACAGTGCATGGCATCTTCAAGCAATGAGATAAAACATGTTTATTATTTGTAACAGGATGATGGGCCACGATTATACCCCTCTCCAATCTCTCCTGAGCCAGTTGCCTTCTCTTTGAAGAGCCTGAAAGTACAGCGGAAAGAGGATGGCGTTTTCAGCCTCACAGGTAAGGACTGTACTGAATACAAAATCTCTATATGATTTTATCTTAGTGCAAGCCAAAAAGGGGTCTACATGCATTACACAGACATGGGTGAAACAGGTATTTAAACACTGTTTACTAAAATGTGAAATGTGTACTTGTGCACAGATATTTTTTATAGCTCACTAGTAATGCTGAGGAAAGTAACATCCTAGGAAAGAGGGGAAGGAGGTTAGATTTTTCAGCCATTTTGAATAGGAATTGCTACCTCCACAGATACCTGTTAAAGTGTACCTTTAGTACCCTAGACTATTCACACTAAAAGTAGTAGTAAAGGCCCTATCTTAACTTGTTCCTATAGGTAAGCTTACTATCAGGCTTGCCTGTAGGTACAACAAATATCTCCTAAACGTGCACCATTTAGGAGATAATCACATTGGACTTCACCTCTGTATGTGCAGTGATGCTGTACATTCAGGGCACACAGTATACTATGGAATGCAGAGCGCATGCTGCAGCAGGGGCTCCCAAGTGCATGCCCCAGCCATTTAAATGGAAGGAAGACCAAGTAAAGATGGAAGCACCAGGGAAGCCAGGACAGGGCTGCGCTGGAGTGCTCTGTTTTAAAGACAAGTCTATCATAATGTGCTAATATTCAGTGCATACTAGCACATTATGAGAAAAACATGCAGGGGGCCCGATTTTTTTTTTTTTTTTGGCGGTTTACGACTGATTTAGGTATTTACATATTCTGGACAGCCTGTAAAGGCTCATTTTTTACTTTTGGTACCCCTTGGAGGATTGCTTTTCCTAGGGTTTGTGGCAGGCAAGGAGGAGGTGATATGTCTCCTCCTCACTGCCTGTTTTAACCCTGAAAATGCCGACCCACCATGCCACACTCAAGTGCATTGAATATGATTATGGGCCCATTCGGCAGTGGTACTGCCCACCAAAAATATATTAGGGGGTATAATTTTTGACATGGCATGCATTCAGCCTTGGGCAGCTACATGTCTTTGATTGGTGGATGGTTGTGTGGGGGTACAACCGCGGTTCTACCGCCTGTTTTTCCTTCCTCCTGGCCACACAAATGAAAGAGCCCTAAAAGCAGTTTAACATATGCCCCTGTTCAACTCTGTAGCTATAGACATTTTTGGGAAATTTATCTTCAAGGTTCAAACAAAGGCACAGAAATCCTAACTTTTATTTCTATGGGGAGCAGAATTCTGAAAGTTTGCCAGCTCTTTAATGTAAAAACAAAGCAGACATTTCTGAACTGTCAGAAACTTTACTACCTGAATGTGCAACTTTGAAGGTGCATTTCTTAACATTACATGCAGCTATAGAGTTTAGGGATGGATTGTTAGAAATCTTTTCTTTCCTGTCCATTGAGGGTCAAAGGAAGTCTTTAACCTTCGGTTATACTGACACCTATAAGAGAATTGGATACTGGCAACCAAAAAACTTCAGGCCAGCAAAGGATAATCCCTTACTATCAGTATGCCTGATAGTGTTAGTGTCCTAGGAGGATGGACATCTTTTATTAGTGTCTGCTGTGTTAAAGTGAACCTATCTTTGCTAGAACTTCTTTTCTTCAATTTTGTTTTCCAATCAAGACTGTTGTCTACATCATTGCCGGAGCTTTGTTTCTTCGATTGCAGCTATCCGGCACGGTTGTCTTCAGCTTGGCTCTTGGATTTTCACGTTCAGAATCCACTGCACGGCTAATATAGCAGTAAACTTTGGACAACTGCGTTCCATGTAGGGCATTTTATCGACTCTGGATCAGTAAAAGTTATCTTCATTTGATCTATGCTCTTTCTCACTATTCAGTACTGAGAAAGCATCTCCCCACTGCTGCTCCTGCTTACCTGCTGCCCGCCCATAAATGACTTTGGTCACCTGCCCCTATCCAACCCTCACGTGCTTCCAGTCTGAATTTTTTGAGTACTTGAGGCTTTGCCATATACCTTTAGCATATACCTTGCATTACGGTCATGCAGTCGCAATGGGGTTTATTTACTAAAGCTGGAGAGTGCAAAATCAGACTCACTTCTGCATAGAAACCAATCAGCTTCCAGGTTTCATTGCCAAAGCTTCATTGAAGAAGCTGAGGTTAGAAGCTGATTGGTTTCTATGCAGAAGGGAGTCTGATTTCGGACTCTCCAGCTTTAGTAAATAAACCCCAATGTGTCTGATTCTAGACATGGAAAGGAACAATTCTGCTGTTCTGAGTGCCTCCAGCTCACTTTCTTGTAACAGCTCCAGGACACTTGTAGCACACCTACTGACAGTGATGATGTTTACAGCATGGAGTCAGGTTGCCCTCTGCTTTTTGAGTCTGTTTTATCCTTGGAGTTCTCTTTAGCTCCGCAAGTTGTAGCTGCGTCCTGTGCTCTTTCAGCTTAGGTCTTTGCTACAGTCATGGAAGACTTTGCCTTGAATCACCCAGTTGATTACTGACTCTGACCACAGAGGCCACAAGCACTCTCCTGTGTCCTCTACTGCAGATTCTGTATCCGATTTGCTCACGGCCCTAGCAGCTTCTGAGCCATCGGCTGTCAGGGACTGTCTGATTCTCTTCAGTCCTTGATTGATGAGCCTAACCCCCAAAGAGTTGCATACCATTGCTATTATGCCCAAATTAAAAGAAACAATTTTTCCTCTTAATGATGCTGCCAATCTAACACCAAACACCAATCTAGAGAATCGGCACATTTTTTTCTACCAGTGCAATCTCCTAAGGCTGCAAAGACTTGTACCTGTTTTTCCAAATATTTCTCATTAAGGATTGTAAGCATCCTGATTAGTTATTTGCTTCCCCTTCCCTCAGTGCTTGTTAGCCATGTATCCTCTTGATGAGGATTTTAGACAGAAGTAGCATTCCCACTGTGGGTCTGGCTGTGTCTCATCTTAAAAGGAAGCATACTAAAATGATGGAGGATGCACCTGTCTTCAATGACCCAATTGTTAAGCGGTTGGAAGCCCTTTATAAAGTTTTTTTCTCTCTGGTGGCTCCTGCCCTTCACCTGATCATGGCTATGACTTTACTTTGTCAAACCATGTCAGATTGGTCAAAATCCCTTAAAAGAAATCCAATCACTGGTGCAGTTTACCCCTTGCTTATTGGGCATGTGGAACATGCAGCTGTAGCATTAACCTCAGCTGTGACAGTTTTTTCTGGAAGCCTCTTGTCTAATTTCTCGTATGTGTCTCATGTCAGTACATACAGTTGTGTTCAAAATAATAGCAGTGTGTTGAAAAAAGTGAATAAAGCTCAAAATCCTTCTAATAGCTTTTATTTCCATACACACAAATGCATTGGGAACACTAAACATCCTATTCCAAATCAAAACATGAAGAGAAATATATCAAATTTGTGTTTTTCCTCTAAAAAAATTGAAGAAAAGTGAATGGTAGACTGTTCAAAAAAATATCAGTGTTTGTATTCTTCTTTACAAACTTAAACATTCACTATATAAACTGAAAAATGTTTGAAGATTTTGCTTTCCTTTGAATCACTTAATTAATATTTAGTTGTATAAGCACTGTTTCTGAGAACTGCAGTACATCTGTGTTGCATGGAGTCAACCAACTTCTGGCACTTGTGAACAGGTATTCCAGCCCAGGATGATTGAACTACATTCCACAGTTCTTCTCTATTTCTTGGTTTTGCCTCAGAAACTGCATTTTTGATGTCACCCCACAGGTTTTCTATTGGATTAAGATCCGGGGATTGGGCTGGCCACTCCATAACGTCAATCTTGTTGGTCTGGAACCAAGATGTTGCACATTTACTGGTGTGTTTGGGGTCGTTGTCTTGTTGGAACTCCCATTTCAAGGGCATTTCCTCTTCAGCATAAGGCAGCATGACCTCTTCAAGTATTATGATGTATTCAAACTGATCCATGATCCCTGGTATGCAATAAATAGGCCTAACACTGTAGTATGAGAAACATCCCCATATCATGATGCTTGCGCAACCATGCTTCACTGTCTTCACAGTGTACTGTGGCTTGAATTCAGTGTTTGGGGGTCGCCTGACAAACTGTCTCCGGCCACTAGACCCAAAAAGAACAATCTTACTTTCATCAGTCCACAATATGTTCCGCCATTTCTCTTTAGGCCAGTCAATGCGCTCTTTGGCAAATTGTAACCTCTTCAGTACATGTGTTTTTTTTCAACAGTGGGACTTTGCGGAGGCTTCTTGCAGATAGCTTGGCTTCACATAGGCGTCTTCTAATTGTAACAGTACTCACAGGTAACCTTAGACCTTCTTTGATCTTCCTGGAGCTGATTGTTGGCTGAGTCCTTGCCATTTTGGCTATTTTATCCATTCGAATGGTAGTTTTTTGCTTTCTTCCACGCCTTTCAGGTTTTGGTTGCCATTTTAAAGCATTTGCAATCATTTTAGCTGAGCAGCCTATCATTTTCTGCATTTCTTTATATGTTTTCCCCTCTCCAATCAACTTTTTAATCAAGGTACGCTGTTCTTCTGAACCATGTCTGGAATGACCCATTTTCCTCAAAATTTCAGAGAGAAATGCACTGTAACCAGCATGTACAACATTTGCTGCCTTCCTTCCTTAAATAAGGGCAATAATTGCCACCTGTTTTTCAAAGAATGAATGACCTCACTAATAGAACTCCACACTGCTATTATTTTGAACATGCCCCTTTCAATTAGTGATTCAATTACACAGAATCAGCAGCATGCATGTCATGACTGTTGGGTCTGTTGGATTTCTATTACTCTACTACACCTGCTAGTAAATTATTTGCCATGTAGAAATATAATTTCTACCAAAAACAGTGATTGATCAGGTTAGTGATGCTATTTGAACACAACTGTATGTGTAGGGCACTCTGGCTAAAGTGCCAGACTCTGGAACGTTTTTGTGTACAAGGTTGTATCTGTTCTTGATAGAGTTCCATTCGACCAGTTTAACTCCAGATCTCTGGAATGCAACATTCAGTCATCATGGGACAGGTTGAACCTGTCTCTGGAAAGACTGATCTGTTTTTCACTGGGGACCAGGTTGTCCCTGGCTTGTTGGCTTTGGAGTCAAGGAAATATTTTCTTACTATCTTTGAAAGATGCTCATGATGGATGCGTCTATTTGCATGGGGAGGGTCCTGGAGGAGTCTTGTCTCCTGATCAACATCCTGGAATTCTGACTGTTTATACAGCATAGGGTCTTTTTTTGTAGGGTCAGTGGCATACATCAATTATCAGGGAGGGACCAGGAGTCTTCTAGCAGAAACAGAGGGAGAGTTGATCCTGTCCTTAACAGATTTTCACATTCTTATATATACTTTGTGCTCTAGCCTTGTCAGCTGTGTACATCCCAGGCATAGGCAGTTAGGCAAAATATTTAATCAACTGGCAGCATCTGGACCCAGGGGCAGTGGTCCCTGTATCCTGGATTGTTCCAGGATCTGTGCTGCAGATAAGGACTGTCAAATGTGTAGTTACTGGTAAGGAATTCTCTAGCCTAAGCAGTGAATGCCTGGTTGCTTTTTGGGATCAATACACTTTGACCTAAATTATATATAAAAAGGCTTCTTACATGTCTATTTTGCAAGATCAAGATTGATGGCATTCATCCATACTGGCCCAAGCAGCTGTGATATGCCTGGTAAGCATTGCCAGTTCATCAGGATCCTTTGTCCTAAATTACCATCATGGGATGTGAAAGGCATAGTGCACTTGGTATGAGTATTGGAGCTTACACCCCAGGATTTTCTCTGGACCACTGTTTGGCTCTCATCACTGTCATAGGTCAGGTTTTTGCGCTTTTTATCCTTTTCAGAGATTATTGGTCTCTCACTCTTTGAATAAGACCTTTGTACAGGGGTCTCCTCCAAATTCATTCCCCAGTGACGGTGGAACCTGAATATAGTTCCTTTTGCACTTCAAGAACTGCCTTTTGTACCCATTCCTCTTTCTTCTCTCACCCGTAAACTGGTGTTTCTTGTAGCTGTCACCTGTGAGGCAACCTTATCTTACAAAGAACCTTCTTTGTTTTTGCCCAGTTCTTACTTCTTTCCCTATGACAGTTTCTGTTTTTCACGTCAAACAGGACATTTTTCTTCCATCCCTCTGTCTGGCTCCAGTTCACCAAAAGGAAATTTCTTTCCATGGTTTGAATGTGGTTCAGGATGTGTGCATTTATCTTTCAGTCACTGCTTCTTTCTGAAAGACTTGATTGCCATTTTGTCATCCTGGATGTACCCTGAAAAGGTGTATCGGCTTCTCTTTCCCATCAGTCAAACCTATGGTGTCAAGGACCCTTTCCTTTCAAGGTGCAATCTGCTAGATCTGTGAGTGCTACTTTGGCCTTTTGACACTTTTCAAGGCTACCACCTGGTCTTTTGTTGACAAGTTTTCTAAATTCTACATGCTATATGTGGAGGCTTTGTCCAATTACAGCTTTATGCATAAGGTCCTTTGGGCGTCTCTTTGAACTGCAGGCAGTCCCCAGTTTTCTGTTGTTGTTTCTTTGGCCTTTAGAGTTTGTTCACTGTATTGCCCATCCCTTAGTTGGACTGCTTTTGGACATTCTGATCCTATTTCCAAAAGTGACTTATTAGCATTGGCTGAATTTACACATTTAAAGTGTTACTAAACACACAACAGTAAAATCAGCGTGTCTATGCAGTAAAGCAATCTTGTTATACTCACTGTGGAACCCAAGGGGTTAATCCTCTGCATTGTGTAATAAGGATGTTTGATCCTGTTTTCTCTGATCCTCCTCTTCTTCTAATGTCCCCAATCCATCTTCTAATAGAACAGAGCCTTGGGGGCGAGCTGCAAATGATCAATTTGGTGTGTATTGCTAGAAAGTTTACTTTTTTTCTTGAGAGAGTGCATGTGATCAGCACAAGGCCAATCGGCACTGACTAGACAGATGGTCAGGGGTCCTGAAGCCTTATAAAACAATCAGGGGAGATTGAAAACTCCTTCTGCAAGCTTTAAACCAGTGCTCTGCTGGACACTGATAGAAGTCACAAGACTGCCATAACTGCTGATGGGAAAAGGTATTTAGCAGTTTATATTTACTAAAATAATTGCATTTGCATGTTCTGTGTACTGTGGGAGACCAGATATAGTGAATGAAGGGTCCTGGGTTTAGTAACAATTTAAGAACCAAATCTGTTCTAATAACCTGTAAAACCTGAAAGAAGAAGAAGAATTGTATTCAGAAGGGAGTGCAACGGTACAACATCCCTAATATTGGAAAATATGCCAAGAGCAGACAAGAGAAAAAATAAGAAGAGAAAAAGATGAGGAGAAAAAATTCCTCACATAGAAAGGAAAATAATGGGATTTTAAAGGTGCCAAAAAATTTAATAGAACAATAAGAGCTAAAATATTACAATGTTTATTGTCAAATCAATTTAAAATACATTCAAGTATATAAAAAAATCATGATAATACTTATTCGGAAATATAAATCTGGTACAATATTTCTCTCAACATGTTTCGCCTTTTCAGGTTTCTTCACGAGTTATTAAATATAACACCAAATAGTTCATACTGGCTCAAATAGGCAGATAGTATATGGGGTGATTGAAATGCAATTTCAGTAGGACATAAAATTCTCAGATAATCCCAAACAGGTTGATGCATCAGATGACTGGTGGAGGGGCCCAAACAGACTATTGAGAAGTTGAAGTAACCACCACTTGCTGAGTACTCAGTATATCAGCAATTACCATCATACTTGATTGTATTGCACCAGAAATGACCAAAAAAACTTTTGTTGAATTTGGGCACTCCATCCAAATACTATTGAATCAAGAAGGAGGGAGGTGGTATGCACCAAAAGTAAGGAGGCAAATACTATAGCATGCCAACACCGCAACACCACACCCCATCAACCAGCCTGTAAAACCTGTTAATAGTTGAACAATTCTTTTTTTTTTTTTTTTTTTTTTTTTTACAACATTCTTTTCAGGTGAAGAATCTTCAGATCCTGTATCCAGAGCCACACATCCTTCTTTTGTACATAGCAGCATTAGCTCAGAAGCATTACCTGAAAGTATGGAGGTAAGAAGAGCAAAGTAGCACTGCACTTTATTAGATTTACAGACACATCACACGTATACACAGTACGTTCAATAGGTAAATGTTTTACATGGTAAATCCATTCAAATAAGAATCTACTGTTCATATATACAATACATCCTAAATATTGGAACTATTTAAAGTGTAACTGTAACCAAAAAAAAATTAAGACAATCAAAAATTAAGAGTACTTAACATACTTACTGAATATTACCATTAAATATACAGGTGAAACTCGAAAAATTAGAATATCGTGCAAAAGTTCATTTATTTCAGTAATGCAACTTAAAAGGTGAAACTAATATATGAGATAGACTCATTACATGCAAAGCAAGATAGTTCAAGCCGTGATTTGTCATAATTGTGATGATTATGGCTTATAGCTCATGAAAACCCCAAATCCACAATCTCAGAAAATTAGAATATTACATGCAATCAATAAAACAAGGATTGTACATAGAACAATATTGGACCTCTGAAAAGTGTAAGCATGCTTATGTCCTCAGTACTAAGTTTGGGCCCCTTTTGCAGCAATTACTGCCTCAATGCGGCGTGGCCTGGAAGCTATCAGCCTGTGGCACTGCTAAGGTGTTATGGAAGACCAGGATGCTTCAATAGCGGCCTTCAGCTCTTCTGCATTGTTCGGTCTCATGTCTCTCATCTTTCTCTTGGCAGTGCCCCATAGATTCTCTATGGGGTTCAGGTCAGGTGAGTTTGCTGGCCAATCAAGCACAGTAATCCCACGGTCATTGAACCAGGTTTTGGTGCTTTTGGCAGTGTGGGCAGGTGCCAAGTCCTGCTGGAAAATGAAGTCAGCATCCCCATAAAGCTCGTCTGCAGAAGGAAGCATGAAGTGCTCCAAAATCTCCTGGTAGACAGCTGCATTGACCTTGGACTTAATGAAGCACAGTGGACCAACACCAGCAGATGACATGGCTCCCCAAATCAACACAGACTGTGGAAACTTCACACTGGACTTCAAGCATCTTGCAGTGTGTGCCTCTCCATTCTTCCTCCATACTCTGGGTCCTTGGTTTCCAAATGAGATGCAAAAGTTGCTCTCATCAGAAAAGAGGACTTTGGACCACTGGGCAACAGACCACGTCTGTTTTTCTTTAGCGCAGGTAAGACGCTTCTGACGTTGTTTGTTGTTCAGGAGGGGCTTGACAAGAGGAATACGACATTTGAAGCCCATGTCCAGGATCCGTCTGTGTGTGGTGGCTCTTGATGCACTGACTCCAGCCTCAGTCCACTCCTTGAGAAAGTCCCCAACACTTTTGAATGGCCTTTTCCTGACAATCCTCTCCAGGCTGCGGTCATCTCTGCTGCTTGTGCACCTTTTTCTTCCACACTTTTCCCTTCCACATAATTTTCTATTAATGTGCATTGATACAGCACTTTGGGAACATCCAACTTCTTTTGCAATTACCTTTTGAGGCTTTCCCTCCTTATGGAGGGTGTAAGTGATGGTTTTCTGCACAATTGTCAGGTCAGCAGTCTTTCCCATGATTGTGATTCCTACTGAACCAGATTTGCAGGTGTTATGGCTTAATTAGCTGATTAGAGTGGGACACTTTGAGCCTAGAATATTGCACCTTTTCACAATATTCTAATTTTCTGAGATTGTGGATTTGGGGTTTTCATGAGCTGTAAGCCATAATCACCACAACTATGACAAATCACTGCTTGAACTATCTTGCTTTGCATGTAATGAGTCTATCTCATATATTAGTTTCACCTTTTAAGTTGCATTACTGAAATAAATGAACTTTTGCATGATATTCTAATTTTTCGAGTTTCAACTGTATTACCAATAAAAGTACTATGTGGTCCAAAATGAAAACAATGCCCTTTGCTGCCTCCTTTTCATATAATGTTGCCATTTTGTTATACAGTATCTTGCCAAAAGTATTGGGCCAGCCCTCCAAATCATTGGATTCAGGTGTCCAATCACCTTCATAGCCACAGGTGTATAAAATCAAGCACCTAGGCATGCAGACTGCTTCTACAAACATTTGTGAAAGAATGGGTCGCTCTCAGGAGCTCAGTGAATTCAAGAGTGTTATCTTGATAGGTTGCCACCTCTGCATAAAGTCCATTCATGAAATGTCCTTGCTACTAAATATTCCGTGGTCAACTGCTAGTGGTATTATAAAGTGGAAGCAACTTGGAAAAACAGTAACTCAACAACAACGAATCACGCTTCTATCTGGCAATCCGATGGATATATCTGTGTCTGGCAATTGCCAGAGGAACGGTACTTGCCTGACTGCATTGTGACAAGTGTAAAGTTTGGTGGAGGGCGGATTTATGGTGTGGGGTTGTTTTTCAGGGGTTGGGCTTTGCGTCCGCATACTAAGACATTTTGGACAATTGTTTGCTCACAACTTTGTGGGAACAGTTTGGGGATATCCCCTTCCTGTTCCAACATGACTGAGCACCAGTGCAGAAAGCAAGGTCCATGAAGACATGGATGAGTGAGTTTGGGATGGAGGAACTTCATGGGCGTGTAAAGGCAGGCATCCCAATACTTTTGGCAATATAGAGTATGTTGTATTCCTTGTTGCCCTCTTCATGATAGCTTCATTTCCCACAGTTTTTCATCTCTAAATCCCATGCACGTGCATGCATACAGTATCATTTGACTTCAGCATTGATAGCCAAGCTAAAGGAACCCCTCTACCTTTTGCAAATGCACTCTATGCCCAGCCTTGCTTTGCATACAAACTGAACAATATCAGTGAGCATAGAGGAAGGATTATAAACATGATCTTTGTAAATACACACTCCCCCTTCTGTTATTGCCCTCTCTCTTTAGTGCTTCATCAGAATAATTTTCTGCCGGCAGCAGTTGGAAGCCTCTGTTTTTTTGCCTGAGCAGCCCTTTGCAGACCACTCTGAGTGGCACCCTCGGTTATGAAAGCTCTCACCGACCGCTCTTACTGACTTTGCAGAAGTCAGTGCTCTGCTCTATGTGATCTGTCAGATGATTTTACACAATCTCATATAAAAGCTTGGAAAAAAAAAAGGAAAATGTCCTCTGTCCAGCATCCCTACAGTAGGGAGCTGAGAGCAGCTTTCACAAATGCTAGTGTCACTTCAAACTTTCCACCAAATTTCTCCAATACAATCACAGTTCCCCAACAAATCACCTGTCACAATATTCACCTCTCCACATTGTCAGCTTGGTGCCTGAGTTACATCCTGAAGCTTATCTGCTTTCACTATGCAAACAATAGACATTTCCATTCTCTGCTAGACAGGAATGCTGTTAGGAACTGACCATTGACGCTGAGACTAAAATAAGGGCTGTATAAGTCAGAATGCAGAATCTGCAAATCATTACCAACATCTCCTTGGCAGTGAGCTGCATTTTTGGCACATCTCTTACATGCCAAAACCCTGCTCAAGCTGCACATGCACATTGGAGATTTCAATAATCATTTCCATTCCACGGCTTGGGAAGGGACATGGGAATCCTGAGGAATGTTGATCTTTGCAGAAAATGTTAATATGTGTGTTAAGTTTTTAAATAGGAACTCCAGTCTAATGCTGGGATAGACTTCTCAGTTATCTGTCAATTTCAACTGCACTAATGATTATATAGATCAGGGTTTCTCAACTAGGGTTCCTCCAGAGTTTGCTAGGGGTTCCTTGAGCAGTGAGAAATCTCTGACTCTCAAATACATTTCTACTGATACCAGTGATCTATTTAGTTTTTATTTTGACAAAATAAACAAATATAATAAAATTTAGTGGAATAAAATGATTGTCACTGGAAGACAGGGTATGTGATACCTTAATATTCAGTATGTATTACTTTCAGTGTACAAGCAGTACTGTAAATGTAACAACGGTAAAATAATGGGTTTATAATGTACAATGAAAAAACATCTCAGATGATTATGTTTGTAGTCATATTGTAGAAGCTGTATGCCACATCACAATGTTCTGCATCATGTCCAGCCCTAATGTATAGAAGAACCAGCAATGAAAGGGTTCATTTATATTTGCAGTATCCATTGACAGGAATATGGAGGTGATATGTTGCCGTCTGTTTGAACCCTGGAAGCTCACACCAACGCATCGTAACTGCATCCATTGCGTGTAGTTGCAGCATGGCCCTAGTCACTTCAATGGGTCATGCCTGCCAAATGCAACAGGGGGGTCATAAAGCATCATGGCCAGGAAACATGTGCAAGCCCCTCTGGCCGCTCTGTTGTGTTAAGGGGTCAGTCTACGGAGACAAAACTGTGGCTCAACTGCCTATTTTTTACAGCCCTTGGCTGCAAGTGTACACTAGTCCAGTTTATTTACCATACCATCTAATTTGCACTCATTTTTTAAAATATATGCAGCAAAGACTTCTGTCTATACTATTAATTTGAAATGGGTGTATGGCCTCCTATGTTTTTGAATAGTGGGGCTGTGCACTGAGGAATTGTGGACTTACTGAATTACTCCTCTAATTGTTCACTTCTCTTTCTTGCTATAAGTTGATTGCATGCTTGCCATTGTCTCTTATAGTCTGCTAAGGAAACAAACACTTATTTCATCAAGTTTTTTTTTTTTTTTTACTAGTTTTATGCGCACTCCGGTCACTCTAATGGTGGTTCTATTGTGCAGGAGCTCCAGCAAGAGTTGCTAGCTGCTCGGGCAAAACTGGAACAACAAAAACAGCAAGAGGAGAGGCTCCTCCAAGAAATCTGGAAATATAACCCCCTGTTCAACATCTGATTGAAAGATGCCCACGAGAATCACCACTTTAATCTGCGGACTGGATGTCACTGTAAATGTGATTTTTCATATACTGCACCCGTTTAATAGCTGAACCTACAACTGTGTTGCCACCTTGTATAAAAAAAAATGAATAATAAAAGACTGTCACTGTATATTGGATTAACAAACACTTTCCTTTGATGAAAATTACTATTAAAGTGGAAGTCAAATTGTTTATTGTATGGGTAAATTTGGGAAAGGTTACAACACGGTTTTCTGCTGTCCTCTTCCCTTTTGTGGAGATTTTTGCTCACTATCAGTCCTGGAGATGGGAAGTGAGGAAAAGCTCCCCATAGTTAAAGTGGTTGTAAACTTTGGTCATGAAATCAGAACAAAGCACATATTTCTGTAGTGTTTACTTGCCTCTCTCCAAAGCACTAAGTGTCATTTCTCTCTGCTGCCTTGTTCTTCTGTTAACTGTATGAGTCATGTCTGACAAGTTTTACTGACACCAAAAGGTAAAAAGGTGACAGGGGAGGGACCTCCAGCACACAGCCTGTGATTGGCAACCTCACCTACGTTCTTATGTGCTGTATGATGGGGGGATGTCCCTTCCATCCATTCAGCTCTCTTGTACAGTGTGCAACTGTAACTCCCCACCCCCTGATTTATGAGTCTGTTAAAAAACCTTTTTCATCTCTGAGTTTTACAAGGATGTAATAGAACAAATGGTGCAATTAAGCAGGTATGACTGACTAAGGAGGATCTGTTTAATCTCTGTGCATCACGTGAGGCCAGTCACTTCACTGGTTAAGGTTTACAACCACTTTAAGAAAAGCCAACCTTTAACAGATTTCACCTTACCCTCTAGCTCCCATTACTCTTACTATCTGTAGGGTTTTCCCCTCAAATTCTCTCACCTGGAAGGAGAAACTTCCCAATGTGGACATAAAAAGCAATAAAAGATCTAACCGCAGTTCTAACACTTCCTTACCATATCCAAAAATTAAGATTTTTGTGTCTACGTTCTGTTATTACATTAGATCCACATGGTACTAGTAACAAGTATTATTTGTAATGATAAAACAGAATATTAAGTTAGTACCATCCTTCACTGCCCAGACAAGGATCAATTCAGAGCCACATAACCAATGGCACTTAGGATCCTAACTGAGAGACAAAACCATGCATTAGCTCCCACTATGGACATCACCAGCTTGTCCTTTTTTACATGACAGTCTCCCAGGGAGACTGTTAACCAGAGACCGTTAACCTGTGGAGAGCAGTGCGCATTGTCAGTATGAATGGTTTGCTGTACCACTTGTAGCAATGTACTGTGTGCAGATTGCTTGTTTGTTTACAATGTAGAACACAGACAAATGTAAAAACAATGTAAAGTATTTATAAACACTAAGCCTAATTTGTACATTAACTATTGTAGCAAAAACGTTACGAATGCATTGATGAATAACTAGTTTAAAAAAGGAAAAAACAAATCCCTCAGTCCATACTGGGCAGCCTTTGTATGCCTTGCAAACAATATGCAAATGTATTTTTACTTAAAAGGGAACTAAATCCTTTTATCCTTCACAGCCAAGGAAACTGCCATCTTAAACTCTCTTTGATCTGCAACTGCCGTGGTGCACATGTGATCAGTTATGACAACAGCCATTTGACGGCTTGACAGTTTATTTGAGAGTACAAGCAACTGTGACTTTTTCATTTGTGGCATGCCTTGAATGTAACTGTTTTGGGAAACTGTTAAATCAATGGGTTCAGTTCCACTTTAACTAGGTCCATTGCACTGCGTGGCTTGTGTGCAGTGCTTACATCCTTACACTAAGCTGCTTCTATAACATACCCACTGTGCCCTTTTAGTTTTTTAGATAAGTAGGTGGAGTCTGCCTCAGTCTGACCATTGTTTTCTATAAATTAACCGATGTGGACTCTACCCACTTTTCTGTATCATGGAAGCAACATGGGCAATGATGTAAAGGCATCAATCCTGTTTCCAAGGTAATTATAGATTTATATAATGTTTGCAAGACTGCCAAGCATCCTGATGACGACTGGAGGCATTTGTTCAGTTACTCTTTAAAAAAGGGTTTATGTTGGGCTGTGTGTACACTTTTACATAAAACTATCTAAAATGTTGATTGATGCTGTTGCAGTAACATACCTGCACTTTGGTGAAGCTCGTCTGTAAACCGAAAATAAAATAATGGATTTTTAACAGTAAAACAGTAGTGTAGTAGTTGTGTGATTATCCTTTAACAGTATCTTTCTTACAGATTGGTATTTCTCCTGTGCCTCAATCAGCATCTGACAAGGTACAAGTTGTACTAGAGACTCATTTAACCACTTCAGGACAAGACCACACTTTGCTTTTGCAATGTTGCAGTTACCATTTTTTTACTTTGTCACCATTTTTGTTTTTTCCAAAAGCAACTTTCTTCCAAATAGAGGATCTATAAAGAGTAATATATAAACCTCTTTCTCTAGTCATCTTCCAGGACAGTACACCTGAGAATGACTAGCTGCACCTGACAGGAAACACAATCAAAACAACAGTGTAAATTCCCCACCCTTCGCTCCACTCCTCAGTTTTTGATTGTTTCCCGGCAGCAAAACATTTGTTGTTTTCTGGAGACCTAGAAGCCTGAGGTTGTATGGTCCCCCTGGGGAGTTAATCCGTAAAAGCCGGGGAGGGCATGCTGGTTAGCCTGGGTGATTTACCCACTCCAGGGGTTCCCAAGGTTCAGAGTTTCCCAAGCACAGGGAAAGTGTGCCCGGCGCTTCACAGACCAGAGCTCTTCAACCCTTTTGCCCAGACAGCAGGGAGGAGGCTCCGGAGTGGATCTCGTGTGTGTGTGTGGGCAGTGGGGAGAGACAGCCGGCCCGGCGCTACTGTGCAGAGCAGGAAGTAGCAGGGGCCAAGCCTCGGTCTCGGACCAGCTCCCAAGGGCAGAGCTTCCGTTTTAAACATGGTGGCGCTGGTCAGAGTCTCTTCCCTTATGAGGCTGGTGAGGTGCTGCCGGGACTCCCCAGTGGAGTTGCGCGGTCAGGTGTCCCCTTGCCCTGCAGAGAAGCAGAACATCATGGAAGGGGGTGAACAGGCGTTGGCTGCAGCCAATGAGAAGATCACAGGTGGCGAGTCTGACTCTACTTGCGCTCCCCCAAGACCATGCTGAAGAATAGAAGGATTTTTTTGTTGCTGCAAACAGAGATGTTAGCTACCCTACAATCCTTTAACCACTTGCTCTCCAGAGGATTTACCCCCCCCCCCCCCCCCCCCCTTCCTGACCAGGCTGTTTTTTGCATTACAGCACTGTTACTTTAACTGACAATTGCGCGGTCATGCAACACTGCACCCAAATTAAATTTACATCCTTTTTCCCCAGGAATTGAGCTTTGTTTTGATGGTATTTGATCGCCTGTGTGTTTTTTTATTTTTTTTTGCGATATAAAAAAGAAAAAGAACGACAATTTTGAGAAAAAAACAATTTTTTTTACTTTTTGCTATTAAACATGACCAGTAAACAAATTTTAAAAAAAATCAAAACTTCATCATAAATTTACGCCAAAATGTATTCTGCTCCATGTCTTTGCTGAAAAAAAAAAAAAAATCCCAGTACATGTAAAATTAATTGGTTTGCGTGAAAGTTATAGCATTTACAAATGGCGGTATATATACTGGGATTTTTTTTTTCAATTTTACCAGCAATGGCGGTGATCAGCAACTTATTGCGGGACTACGGCGGACATTCTGACACTGAGGGGAACTGACTTGGTGCCACTGACATCCCAGGGACATCAATACAGTGATCGTTGCTAAAAAAAACAAAAAAAAAAGCACTGACACTGTACTAATGGCACTAAGCAGGAAGGGGTTAACATGAGGGGCGATCAAAGGGCTGTGTGCCGGAAGTGTTTTACTAGGGGGCTGTGTGTGTGTGATTCACTGTAATCACACTGTTGTGGATGGCTGTGCTGTACACAGCCATCCACAGCAGTGTGCCCAAGCTGACAGGGAGGAGGACTGTTAGTAAGCAAAACTGTCCTCCCTGTCGGAGATCCTTGGAAATCACCGAACGCCGACGAGTAATTACCTGGAAATGCAAATCACGTATATGTACACACACGTGATTTTGCACACCGCTGCCGCCCTGTAGCAGTATTTCTGCTCTAGGGTGTTCGGCAAGCGTTAAAGACAGCTCTGACATTCATTGAGGTGGATACACGGTCCTCTAGGGAAGGTTCATCTTCCCAGGAGGGGAGTTGGACGGGGAAGAAGTGGGGTGGGGTCTAGGACCCTCATCTTCTCAGGTCACGGAGGATGAAAACCTAGACGAGGAGGAGGTCTCTGACCAAAGCTCCCTGGAAGAGGGGGAGGATTTGGAAGGTGCTAGCCAGGCTAGTGAGGAATCCAGGCCGGGTAGACACCTATTTGTGGTGGAGGACATGGTAGGACTCCAAAGGGCTATTTATACCTCAGAGGACATCCCAGAACCACCGATGCAGGCCTCAGCCCAAAATACAGATGTACAGGGGTTTCGTGAGACCTCAGGCTAGGGCAGTGTTTCTCAACTCCAGTCCTCATGGACCCCCAACAGGTCATGTTTTCAGGATTTCCATTATTTTGCACAGGTGATTTGATCAGTTTCACTGCCTTAGTAATTACCACAGCTGTTTCATCTGAGGGAAATCCTGAAAACATGACCTGTTGGAGGTCCATGAGGACTGGAGTTGAGAAACACTGGGCTAGGGTAATAAAGTGCATCAAACTCTCAAGGATATTGTTTTGAGAGAATGGAAGGATCCTGAGAAAAAGGTTTTAAAATTAAGAACTTGGAACTTCAGTTGATGAGAGGCGTATTGGTTGGAATTCACTTTGTTCCCCCCTCAAACCTTTGTGTTGACTCATCCCCCCAGAGACAGGACGAAGGCAGAGAGTCTCTTGGGAAGTGTCAAGGAACCAGCAGAACAAGGTGATTGTCCCAGTGCCAGCGGATCAGCTT